ATTCAACTCAACTATAATAACTATAAATGTTCAATAGCTATGGTTTAAATTACCAGAGGGTACCTCAAAAAAATGGGGAGTGAAGCAGTTTGGAACCACATTCAAAGGTTTCATCCCAGCATTTCACCTGGTTGGAACCCCAAGTGAAAATCATGTAGCACTTTGGGCTTGCTCCCAACCCGGAATGTCAGTCACCACGAGGAGCATGACATGTTCGTTTTTTCTTTACGTCACGCAAATGACACAAGGTACTGCTACTTTTTGGTTGTTGAACCTGGAAATTGTCAAGAATAAGCTGATTTTGTTTGGCGGCGTTCCTGGTGTTGCTTTCATCCCACTTTAGTAGTCACCCAGGGTTATGCAACATTAACATTTTGGCATAGGTACCATTCTTTGGTGATTAACCTCTAGTCGTGAAATGTGACAATGGACAATATCAATCTACCATTGGGGGATGGTTCGACGGTCCTACTTAGACCGGCCACGGTTAGTTCGTGAACTGTTCAATAGCTGGGCTAATCAGCCATGAAATAACCCAGTTATGTTTGGGGTATTAGTTTGGCCAGCTATAACGTGGTTGAGATTATAACCCACTATAACTATCTACAACTCTATTGTTATCAGGCAAAACACTGACTAGTCATGAGGCAACAGTTAACATTAATCAACATCTGTTAGTCCATTTAATTAGATGTATGTTCTCCTGCGCCATACCAACCCTGTCACGCGGCAACGAGGAAAACAAATCACTAATCAACCACGGCTCACTATCATATTGATCCAGATCTATTCAACAAACCTGCTGTCATTAGAGATTGAAACCCAGAATAACCCAGTTATTTATCTGGTTGGTGGTTTCAACCCTTCTGAAAAAGAGTAGTCAGTTGGGATCATTATTCCCAATATAAATGCAAAAATAATTCACATGTTCCAAACCACCACCAGTTAGTCAGTTAGTTCATGTTGTTTCATAACCATAAACCCTCAGTTTTCACCCATAGATGTCCCATATCCCATATCCCAACACCAAACCAGGGCACAGCGTGGGGATGGCAGGTGCGAAGGCTTTCCCCAGCTTAACCAAGAAGACTTGGAGCGTCATCAGCACCTCGGCTCGAAAATGTGGCTTTCTCAGGCTCCCTTCCAGCACATAGCCGTAGAAAACCTACAAATATATGGTGTAAACATGGTGTTTTAACCCAGAAAATGGTGATTTAAACCACAACAAATGGTGGTTTAAGCAGTAAACATGATGGTTAAACCAACAAAAACGCTGGTTTTTTGAGCCAAACCAGGGTGGTTTCACCTACAAACATGGTGCAAGCACACCAACAAAAATCGTCATTTCACTGGGAATCAATTGGGCTACGGACGATAATACCATGCCCAATCTCAGACGGACCCCCGCATCTTTCAAAATGTGTCTGACTAACATCCATCCCCATGTATGACAATATGTTTTCCCCCTTGAACATATGATAAAACTACTTGGGAAGTGCAGGGTGGGGAACACAATTCAATAGATTCAGTCATGGTGACTTGCCCCTCGTGGAACAACCAATAAGTGGACAGTGAATGAAAATGATGGCTCCGAAGATCAAATTCATATTGAAGATTCCATGGATTGTTTTTTTTGTTTTTGCCGGGGCTTCCAACGGTTTGCCCTACAATAGATGGGTGGAAGGGAAATTTTACAGGAAACCTCCACATTTCCATGGGGAAAATCCATGGTTTCCGAACACTTCTATTGTTGCCTCCCAAAAAGGAGAACTCGGCCTGTGACCATAGCAGCTTTCAGGACTTGCACCCTGCCCAAAAAGGCAATCGAACTTTGGAAAACCACCATTTTCCAGCTGGGCAAATCATCGAACTAAAAGGGCCATGGCTTACATAGCTATGTTAGGATACCAAAGGGTAAGTGGAAGCATGCCCCAGGCCACATCTATCATCATCTATCCACCTGAAACTCTGAAAGGGTCTTTGGAACTTCGCACATTGGGCCCACCACTTGTGATGTCCAAATACCTATCTTTGCAGCTGGATTCTAGCACCTATAGAGGTAAAAACCATCCCTAATATTTCCACAAATGGGTTCTACAAACATCCGAATTGGTAGGTTTACTGTTAGGTTTGCCAAATGGGAACATCAGAACTATTGGGCAATGACCTTCAAATCAGTTAAGCCAACTGCCAGGCAACTGGTACATCCACACAAGCCGAAAGCTGCACCAATGAGCCGGAAAACAAAGTTCCGGACCTCAGGGAATCCAACCAGGTGGTAAATGATGGTATATAAAAATATGTATATATTTATATATACACACACACATATATATATATGATGATGATGAAATATAATAAATAAACCATGGCAACGGAAAATCCAGCATTTATAGATGATTTCCCATTAAAGCCTCCATTTATAGGGGGATTTTCCATTGCCACGTTTCATTACCGGAGGGTATCGCACCTGTAAATGGGTCATACCATATGCATATTCATTACTCTCGGCCACATAGCAACTATGGATTGATGAATCGTCATATTCAGCAAACTGACAAAGTTAAAATATGACCGCACACAGAGAGAACATGTATTTCAAGTTATATTTAAACCACATAACAACTTAATAGTCAGCCTTTCAACATCTATGACTAAAAGTTATGACTTAGCCATGGATTTTGACCACGTACAAAAAGGGCCGGAGAGGTGGCAGCCTGGTGCAACTCATCCAAATCCTACATACGTGTTGTCATAAAGGATCTTCAGAATACATATGTATATAGTAATATATCTATATATATATATATTACATTATGTACATACACATACGCATTAATTTAGTGGATGAGCAGTGCGGCACGAGGAATCGAAGAAGCCCTTCAGCCACTCACAACCGTGGCAGAGTGGCTGCACCAGTCACTCAGCCACTTAGCTACCCCACCCACCCCTAACCCCCACCTACCCCCAACCCCTCACCCACCCCTAACCCCAAACCTAAAGGAAACATCACGCACTGAGCCACTCAGTCACTCTACCAGAGTGGCTGAGTGGCTGAAAAATTCTGCCAACGCGCGCTCAAGCTGAATTTGAATGTTAACGGATGCACATGATGAACAAGTGGTGGAATGGGGTAGCCTATTTTCACTCAGGCCCGTATAGCAATGTTTAATAATATGTAAATATAAATTAAATACAAATTGGTGATTTTCCATGGCCATGTCAAATTACCAGAGGGTGAAACGTCGTATCACTATTTATGATATGTTCTATCACCAAAATAAGTGGCTAAGATCACAATCCTCAAATGTGACCACGCGCTCATCCAAGCAGAACATGCAGAACTGGGGTTGAAGGTAAGACATGGTAAGACTAAGGTGACCACCACAATAATAGAATCATATATCATATAAGGTGACCACCACAATAATAGAATCATATATCATAGAATCATATATCATATAAGGTGACCACCACAATAATAGAATCATATATCATATATATCATATATCATATATCATATATCATATATATCATATATCATATATCATATATTCATATATATATATATATATATCATATTTATTTACTGGCTAATAAGCCTTTTTCAAAGGCCTTGATTGTTCACACTCCAACAACGAGACGCCTCTGCTGAGAAAAATCATCCATCCCATGGGACAATGGATTGATACCAAGCAATATATCAATCCCGAAACAGTGCCGACCGGACCAAATTGTATATATATATGACGGTTTGTCAAAATGTCTGTTCCCGGTTTTGTTGATAAATCGCAATTCCATGCGTGCCGCCTCATGTTTGCCTTTAAAAAACAAGACCTACCTTGATGACGTGAAAACGTGGAAATTCTTCGTTAGCTTTGGAAATCTTTCTAAAACCACAGGAATCGGCTAACGCACGTCGGTTTTCATTCGCTGTCGCTGGTACTATCTCCTGAACTGTGTGTCTCTGTGTGTGTGCCTCTCTGAATGCAATATGCTTCTTGACATGCCTCCTGATCAACGCTGTTTCCTTACTGTAAGCTACCAAAGCGTGAACATGGCTGTGCCTCTAAATGGGCTGCGGGTGGACCGGCGCATGTATTTGCAATTTTCGCTAGCGCGTTGCTAGCGGCGATCTAGCGCGTAAAATACGTTTAAAAAAAAACGAAAATTTGGGAATATGTGGAAACTGACAGACTTGTAAGAAAAGCTGGCAAGACATTCACGACATGGAGGCCATGGCTGTCAATCAAACCTAGCGCAAACCTAGCGGGTTGCTAGCGCTGCCTTGCGGAATTGCTGAATTTAGTTGCGTGCCGCCTCATAACGAAGAGGAAAAAACAGTAGACCCAGATGAATTATCAACAACCAATACTAAACTTCTAAACAACTATTTTTGACAAATGGTCATATATATATGCACACAAATATATAATCAGTGACTCAGTGTATACACATATGAATATAAATAAATAGCTATACATATATCATATAAGTATAATAAATATGAATATAAAGTAAAGATTTGTTCGTGATTATACCCAGAAGCTCCGCCGGCAGCTTCGCCCAAGGGGCTTGGTCAGTTCCTCCCCGGCTTCCTTCTCCGTGCGTTCCTCGAAGAAGAGCCGAATGTGGCCTTGGTCTCCGGAGTGCTCCCAATACCCGGGATACAAAGGGGTGGAAACAACATGGGACTGAGAAAACACGAATAAAGTGTGGCAACAGCCAGTGTTAAATAACTAATTAATTAAAGTGAGTTATTGGCAAACTTTATATTTAGAGAAAACCACTTAAATAACTAAATGAGCAATTTCTGAAAACCAGCCAGCAGAAAACACTCATTGTGCCCAGATTTCAAAAAGCAAATGTATTGCAAGATCACCTCATCGTCTCTATATGGGTCTGAAATGGGGAGACACCCATAGGGAACATATGAAATTGATCCCCTTGTCGGATAAACCGATTTGGATGTAGAAAAGGACAAAGGAACGGGGAGGTGTTTATGGCGTTTGAACAAACAAAACATGCGATTTTAATTTACAGTATGGAAGAAGCAAATATGGGAATTTGGCCGGAAAATCAGCGATATTTGAAGCCACCAGACAGAACAAACCTGTCCCAAAGCCCATCGCGCATGTCACGCGGCTGGTGTGTGGACGCTGCCCCAGAGCTATGCAGCGATTCAAATCAGGACGTTTGATGTTCACCTGGCGTGAGGAGTTAAACCAAGTAGTATCTGCTTGATAAAGCTCCAACAACTTTGGTTGCTTGAAAGTAGATCCACATGTTTCATTGCAAAAAAACTAGCAAATAACTGAATAACTGTTCAATTTCTTTTTGGTTGTTTCATTCGTCCCATTTATGAGAACTATATTAGTAAATTATGGTCGGTGAAAACCAACTGGTAACTTTGGCGCCTCGCCCACCGTCATCTCTGCAGTGGACAGAGTGGACCAGCTGGCTCTTCTCTGCAGCAATTCCTCCACCAGGGAATCGGGTACCGTTCCTGTCGCGGACTTCGGTGATTGAAGGGAACATTGAAGTATCATGGCAATTCCCATATGTATTTATTATGTATATCCAAAAAAGTCAGAGACTTAGCCTTTGTTTTCGCTTGACTGGGTCAAAGATTAGCTGTCAAAAACACTGCAATTGGAAACATAGTTGGTTTGTTGACTTCTCAACCATTCACCCACCAAACAACTGCCGAAATGACACAAACAAAGCCATTTCCATACTGCAAGGATGCACCTTTCACCATTTATGGATATCAATGGTACGATTCTGCTGCTGGATGGCTACAAACTCGTGCAACTACCCAACAAAGGGATGACCTTGGACCATGGATCCTGGCTCTGTCAAGTGCTGCCAGCATCGCCCGTTGAATCAAAAACTGCCCGCTAAATCTTGAACCAAACCATAAAACCCGGAAGAAAAGAATCTCAGCAAACTTGGAGGTTGAACATGGATCAGCCAACCAAACTGTCCATTTATCATCATCAATTGTCATTCGCTGGACCAGATTTGGGATGGTTTCCCACGCGTCAAACATCATTCGAGGACAACAAACAATAGATGCAATCACTTTGACCAAGCATCCCATGAGCTTGGCCAGAGGGGCAACCTGAAAAAGGACACCAGAAGAAATAACGGATTCAACCATAACATGTTGGTTTTAGATGGTCTTTGTATCCAAAAAACAACAACAGACAATCTTGGGACGATTTCCTACCATCCATCCTATCTTTCTTAGAAACACTTGGCATGGTCGCCGTGGTTCGAGTGGCTTGTGCCCTGAGAACTGGAGACCTGGCAAAAACTCATGCTTTCTGGATAGATGAATATAATATAATATATATATATTTTTTATTTACCCAATATGAACCCCCAACCAAACTGATTTAACTGATTTGACCTCTGGTAATTGAACATATCGATGGAAAATCACCATGTTTAGCAGTTAAATCATCATACATCATCATAAACCAGTTATAAATCATCCATCAATATCCATCAATCACCTATTGAATGGCCATAAATCATCCATAGCAATCTCGGCCAAGGAACGGAGGCTCCACGGCGCTGACTTTGGCTGGCGATCGTCAGTTGCAGATTTCCCAAGGAAGCCTTGGAAGCACCGATGGAGATCAGTGGAGTGTACGGCACCCATTTTCCGGGTTGGGGTCACCGGAAATTTTCCTTTTGTAGGCTATATGTAGGCTATATGTAGGCTATATAGACATCAAAAAATGGTTCCAAGTTAGGTTCCTGAAATGGCCACTGATTTCTTGGAGATGGGGGGGTTGAATGAATACTTCGTACGGTACGGGAGTTTATTTTTACTACTGCAGTAGTTATTGTAACTCGATCTTGAATGTTTAAAATTTTAAACTCCTTGAGGGTTTACTACTTGAGGTTGAAAGTTCAGTACTGCAGAAGTTGAAACTACACGAGGCGCACAAACCGACCGCTTCCCAGTCATATGGGGGTTGAAATCTAAACCACAAAAAATGCGGAGTGTTACTCAACAGAAAATGGGGATTGAACCAATACACATGGGCCAAGAGTCACTGAAATCTGAACAAATATGGAGGTTAGACTGTAACAAACAAGCAAAAAGGAATAGCCCCGCAGAAACTGGCATATCACTAGGCGACCCGCAACAATCGGAGCAACAATCGGAATTTGAGTACATTCTGGTAAATTAACATAACTATATATAAATGGCAATTTTCAATATAGCTATGTTAGTTTACCAGAGGGTAATCACAGTGGGAAGGTGCCCTGCCTCAGATAAGACACATTCTCTAGAGTGCAGCATCATCGGGGAAAATGACTGACCAACACAGGGACGCAGAAACTCATGTGCCAAGAGATCCAAGAAAACACATCCAAAGGGGAGTAAAGCATCAAGTTTTCTAGGTGCATGCCCAATTCCCCACATCTTTGTGTGGGGTTCTTGCTTTTGATTCTGCATCCCTCCCGCTCCTCCCGCTCCTCCTCCTCCTCCTCCTCCGCCCGCTCCTCTTTGTCACAAACCATCTGTCACACACATCTTTGTCAACCACCATCTTTCACACACAACTTTGTCACCAACCATCTTTTACACACAATCTTTCACACACACACACATCTTTGTGGGCCACCATCTTTCACACACAATCTTTCACACACAACTTTGTCACCCACCATCTTTCACACACATCTTTGTCACACACCATCTTTCACACACAACTTTGTCACCCACCATCTTTCACACACATCTTTGCAACCCACCATCCTTCACACACATCTTTGTCACACACCATCTTTCACACACATCTTTGTCACCTACCATCTTTCACACACATCTTTGTTGTTTGGCGTGGCAGGCGTGGCACTTGTTGCACTTGGTGGCGCGCTTGGTCGCCGTTGGTCGCCCGGGGCGCAGCGCCACTTTGCGTGGCAGGCGTGGCACTCGGTGACATCCACCTTCGTTTCACGTGGCAGGCGTGGCACTTGGAGACATCTACCTTCGTTTGGCGTGGTAGGCGTGGCACTTGTTGCACTTGGTGGCGCATTTGGTCGCCGTTGGTCGCCCGGGGCACCGCGCCACTTTGCGTGGCAGGCGTGGCACTTGGTGACATCCACCTTCGTGCCACGTGGCAGGCGTGGCACTTGTAGACATCCACCTTCGTTTTGCGTGGCAGGCGTGGTGCTGGGTGACATCCACCTTCGTTTCACGTGGCAGGCGTGGCACTTGGAGATATACACCTTCGTTTTGCGTGGCAGGTGTGGCACTTGTTGCACTTGGTGGCGCGTTTGGTCGCCGTTGGTCGCTCGGGGCGCCGCGCCACTTTGCGTGGCAGGCGTGGCACTTGGAGACATGCACCTTCGTTTTGCGTGGCAGGCGTGGCACTTATTGCACCAAGTGGCGCGTTTGGTCGGCGTTGGTCGCCCGGGGGGCCGCGCCACTTTGCGTGGCAGGCGTGGCGCTTGGTGACATCCACCTTCATTTCACGTGGCAGGCGTTGCGCTTGGAGACATCTACTTGCGTTTGGCGTGGCAAGCGTGGCACTTGTTGCACTTGGTGGCGCGCTTGGTCGCCGTTGGTCGCCCGGGGCGCAGCGCCACTTTGCGTGGCAGGCGTGGCACTCGGTGACATCCACCTTCGTTTCACGTGGCAGGCGTGGCACTTGGTGACATCCACCTTCGTTTCACGTGGCAGGCGTGGCACTTGGTGACATCCGCCTTCGTTTCGCGTGGCAAGCGTGGCACTTATGGCACTGGGCTGGCTCTGGCGGGGCGCTTGGACCCACCATCTTTGTCACACCATCTTTCACACACAACTTTGTCGCACACCATCTGTGACACACCACTTTGTCACACACCATCTGTCACACACCATCTTTGACACACCATCTTTCACACGCACAACTTTGTCAATCACCATCTTTAACACACAACCTGAACCTTGTCACCCACCATCTTTCACACACATCTTTGTCAACCACCATCTTTCACACACATCTTTGTTACCCACCATCTTTCACACACATCTTTGTCAACCACCATCTTTCACACACATCTTTGTTACCCACCATCTTTCACACACATCTTTGTCACCCACCATATTTCTTTCACACACAACTTTTTTCTTAGCATCTTTCACACACCACTTTGTCACACACCATCTTTGTCACCCACCATCTTTCAGACACCATCTTTCACACACACACACAACTTTGTCACACACCATCTTTCACACACCGTCACAGACCTTCTTTCACACACCATCCTTTACACACCGCTTTGTCACCCACCATCTTTCACACATAACTTTGTCACACACACCATCTTTCAACACACCATCTTTCACACACAACTTTGTCACACACCATCTTTCGCCACACCCTCCTTCACACACATCTTTGTCACACACAACTTTGTCACACGCTTTTCTTTCACACACAACTTTCACACGCACCATCTTTTACACACCATCTTTGACACCACTTTGTCACACACCATCTTTCACACACCACTTTGTCACCCACACCATTTTTCTTTGTCACACACCATCTTTCACATACCGCTTTGTGACACACAACTCTTCACATACAACTTGTTTTACTTCTCGATCCTCCACCACCTCCTTTGTCTTTCCTTCCTTCCCCGTCCCTGCTACAACATGTGTTGCTCATTATTGGAAGAAGTTGACTTGTGGGGTTTTCCGGTCCCCTATTGTCTTTGTTTTTTTAAAACCTTTTGGTGGCACAATGCTTCTCACTTCTCAATGATCCATGTACCAAATTTAATCAACAGGTTCTGTGCCGCCAGGACGCATGCAGAGCCATGTGCTTCGGAATCTTCTCATCAAGAATTCCTGCAAGCTGCCATGGCCTCTAGCGATATGTGTTTTTATCACAAGGAAATCACCGAGTGGGACCCCTCCCGGTCCTTTCAATGGGTTGGCAATGGAGTCGAAACCTGATCCCGTTGGCAGGTGAAAATGAGGTCCACAGGGCGGAGATGTCACTTGCAGTTGAGTTAGTTATTGATATCTTATAATTATCTTTTGAGATTAATTATTCAAGATAAATCTGGGGAACAATGATAGTTGATTTTATAAGTATAGACATAAATCCGATGGAAGGTTCGTTGGTGAGACATCTTTGGGCCCCCAGTACCCAAGGTTGGGCGAATGGCTTTGGAACATTCCTGGGAAATGAGGCTGGGACCAACAGCAACATGACACCCCAAGAACAGGATGCGTAAGGTTCCCCTACCAACATGGAAGACATCTAGGCATATCTAGGCCCTTTCCAAGGATCATCCCCGCTTTGCATCTTGCGGTCTCAGGGGCCAATGCGAACCCTCAACGAGGCCATGTTGACTTTCATGGATTGAAACCTCGGTGCAGGTGGCCGCCTCTGGCCTGTACCAATTGTTTTGGTCCGTGAAAAAATCCATGCGTTGCCATTTTTTTTGTTTAAAGCCGCATTTTTGTTAAGTCCTGCTTAATAAACTTGAAATTGTTGCTCTCTCTCTCTCTCTATCGCCATCTCTGCCCTAGCCAGGCTAAGGGGCAAGGCAGAAGCAGGCAAAGGTGTGGCCCGACTCTACTGACCAAACTGACCAAAACCAAATTTAAGAACGATATCAAAGCTTTGCCAATTTATTTCAAAGTGACCAAGTGGCTCTCTCTCCCTCACTCTAGTGACTCTCTCTCTCTCTCTTTCTTGTCCTCCATATTTTGGACCAAAAAGGGACTACACTACATCCTTCTTTTTGTGACTCATATATATCCTTATCATTAAACAATTGATCATCTTGAGTATAGTATAGTCACTAGATCCTTTTCTACACCCTTTTCATCTTGCCCAAGACACTGCTTCACGCGGCTCAACATCGCTTCCAGCGCCTCCACGCTGGTGGCACCGAGATCCTGGTGCCAAAGAAGACGCAACGGCCATGGCGAAGAGTTCACGAGTGGAGGTACCATACACATATGTATGTGCAAATACTGTGTATATATATATGTGATATAAAAATATATTTATCTATACATATATAGTATAAAACAATAACTCTAAATATAATATATATATATATATGTATATTGCAGAATATAAATGTCCGCCTATCTGTTGACTTATGGAAAAGGGAGATGGCTTATAACTTATATATAAGCGGTGGATTTTGTTTCAGTTATGAGAGAGAGATCGTATATATATATATATAGACCCATAGCAAAATAGATAATACAGATATTATGGGATGGTTTATAACAGAAAAAGGGTTGTTTATAACCAATGTGTTGCTGGGGGTTTCATATTTGACGTACTGAGCTACTTAATGGGTGGCTGGTTGGTGAGCAACCCAAAAATTATGTTCGACACTGGGGATCACCATGAAGCTTGTGGCTGAAGCCACCAACTAGCAACACGGGGAGGGGTAGGGATTTGTCATGATTCAATCATTGATCATTGAAAACACGACATCCATTTAATCTATTACAATATATTACAATATTGTTTGATAATAACAATGTGGTCCGCCCCAGCTGTAGTTGATTTATAAACTCATCCCGTTGCAAATGTTTCCACCATACACCTTAGCTAAGCTAGTCATGATAAAACAACTTACCCATCTAGCCGGCCCGGCTATCAAGCCGTCACCCGTCACCAGCTGCTTTGCCTCGCCACTATCCCTGCATTCCTATGGGGATTCAACAGAAGATGTTGGGCCCTTATGAATGATTTCACAGTGTTACAGAATCCCATTACATCCAGTTGCTATATGTAACCATCAACCAATAATGGCTCAGAAAGCTCGCTCCTCCGACCGATAATCGCTTATGACTAGTATAACTGAATCCACTTAAGATGTATGTATATTTGTGATTTATCATCCTTAGTTGTATCAAGTATCCCAATATCGTACTAATTTATGGGATATACCGACTATAATTAGCATCATGATATCCCGTATTGTTTTGGATGTATCCCGGCACTATATCCCAGAAATTGCTATAGTGTAGTAACTTAGCTGATCTCATTATATCCCATTACCAATGTATCAAAGGCTATATAGGCTATACATATCCTTAGATCCCCCAGAAACATGCAACCGTCGGCACGCTGCCTGCGGGGGATCCCTCGGTCTCTCCGGCCCAAGTTCCTCCTGCGGGAGATGATGCCACCCAGTTGTAACTTGATATGTCACTATATATACCCTCCGGTTATTTAACATAGCCATGGTATAGATGGCCCATAGAAATAGATGGTTACCTATTAAAAATTGTGATTTTCCATGGCTATGTTAAATAACCAAATGGTATATATATATATATGTTATAAACCACTGTATACATATCTTCTATGTAAACAAGTTGCGTAAACATAGCGTATATGTCATTGTATGTGATAAATAGTTGTAACTTGGTATTTTATACCTATACGTAATGCGCATATATTACATTATTACATATGTATACTGTATAATTACACCATAAATCCTAGTTAACCTACCAATGTGAAGTACCAACCAAACGAACACCTAATCTAATCAATCAGTCATGAATTGGTGTCCCTTGCTGGGAAGGCTTCATTACGGTAGGGGGATGAAATTATTTTTACCGAACAAATGTGGATTTAACCAACACAATGGAGAGTCGATGAGCCGAAATTGGGATTTTGCACGCCAACAAAATGGGATTGTAGCTGGAGATTTGATCGGGGACTTTGCTTTTATCTTCTGGAATGGTTCCTTACTTGGGTTGGTTGTTGATCAATCAGCATGATAGACTGCCAAGATGGCAATGCAATTCTCCAAAAACAATCGGCATTCTATCCTGAAATAGAATAAACAATGAGAATGAGAACACGACAAACCCTACATAACCCTACTGCGGAATTTGTTCCATTTGTAGTAGGCCGTCCCTTTTGTCTGTAGGGTACCCCATTTTGACCCTTGATTTCCCCCTTCGGCGAAGAATCCCTTCGAAGAATGTATTCGCAGGCAGGTCCCACAAGGTAGGTCCCACATCAACGGTTCCTCCACAGATACAAAGCTACAGCTGCTTTCATCTTCACCTGGCAGGGACCCAGGGACCACATCGGACCACAAGAAACAGCAAGCCAACCAGATCCAACCGTTGTGTAATATTGATGCAATATCTTAAGCCTTCTTTGAAACAATTTGGGTCTAAAATTATGACTAAGTCCCAAGCCCCGTCCCCATAGCCCATAGCTACCCTTGGCTGTGAATTATCCCGGATTGATAAACCTTCTATTTTAGTGGTCCACTTTGACAATGGAGGGGTCGCAAATAGTCATGAATCCACTTTGGGAAAAACACGGGTGGCGTGGTAAAGAAGTTGCTGCTATGGAATTGTCATGGATTTCCCCTTCACATAAATTCTGGTAGTTCAACATAGCTAGGGAAAATAGCCAATCTATAAATCTTTAAATACCACTATGTATGTACTAAAGATGATGCTTTTCCATAGTGATGTTAAACTACCAAATGGTATATCAATCCTTTAACCCAGCACCGCAACAAGAAATCCCTGGTGCCAAGCAACTAATGTCTTCGGTTGCCCCCTCGGAAATGTCCTGGACAAGGCACCCTGCTGAGATGGGCAGTGCGTCAAAATTTATGTTCAGCCTGTAGCCCCTTCATTCACCGAGAAACATGGTTTGCTTGACAATAAAGCATACATGTCGTGCCAATAAAGAAATTAGCCACATGGAGTATGGTGGAGTAAATGATTGACCTATTGAATGAGAACATCATAAACAATAATCTTCATATATCTTCATCATCCAGCGAATTTCTCGGGATTGGAATGGTCGAGACAAACTCTCCGGCCCACATCCTTCTCATCCAAACATGTCGAACCCGGCGAAACCGCGGAAGGTGTGAAGCCTTCTCCTTGCGTCGAAGTTTGGATGTGCAAATGGGGCATATCACGGCATATCAGAATAGAACATCCTAATTGGCCCTGGTTAGATAGTTTATTGATAAGTAGCTGGGTTATATCCCAAACATGACTTGGACATACTGGGACATTATGGCTAATGCCTAGTTTACGAGTACATTCGCCAAGTAATTGGTTTGAACACTGGCCGTCTGGCCATTACTGCATGAGTGAGCAACTGCCCTCTGCGATTTAGCAATTGGACCTGGGAGGCTTTGAGCCCATTCATTCTTCTAGTTGGTGGTTTCAACCCCTCTGAAAAACATTAGTCAATTGGGATCATTATTCCCAATATATGGAGAAAAAAAAGGTTCCAAACCACCAACCAGTCTTGTTAGAGGCATGTCTAATTTGGTGGTCCCCCAAAATATTCCCCATTCTTCCGTTGAAAGCCCGTAGTCTGAGTATGAACGCGTGGGATTTCCCAGTAAATATCTGGAAAAGTCATTGAGAATACCTGAGATTTATACTAAGCCAGCAAAGTCCTACAAACAGCAACAACAAAAACTCATGAAACAAACTGCAAAAATCCATTTGTTGGGGCCAACCAAAAGCAAACACCATAAACATCTAACAAAAAGCAAACACCGAATCCCAGCAAAATCCCAGCTTTGGGCCAATCAGGAACAAATCCCACAAAAACAATATAAAAACCCAGAAATATCCTATAAAACAATCCCAAAAAATGGGAACATCAGAAGGACAGCAGGACCTGTAAAACCCTAGACGAAACCTGGATTGTCAAGGTTTCCTTCTTGGGGTGGAATGACAACAAGAAGGCCCCTAAGAAGTATCCCCATTAAACTTCTACAGGAAAATCAGAGGAAGATTGGCGATAGATTTTCAAAGGCAGCGCCATTTCCTGGCACACAGAAAATCACATCTGTCTCGGACAGCGTTCGGACTTATTGTTTAAACCCCAGCTTGCTGGGACAATCTCAATTTGGTTCTTAAATTGCTGCAACAAATATGCTGCTTAAGTCCCAATGATTGAAACATCTCAAGTTTGCTGGCTGAGTCCCTCTTGTTGGGAAAATTAGATTCACTGGATCCATGGGTAAATCCCCATGTGATCCCCATGTGATTTTTCCTTGAACCTTCAACGATCCAAGCATAGAAGATAATATGGTTTACCTAAAAAAAATGGTGATTTTCCATAGTTATGATGGATATTCTATGATATCCTGGTTGGTGGTACACCTACCATCTTGAAAAATATGAGTTCGTCAATGGGAAGGATGACAACCCATATATGAAATGGAAAATAAAACATGTTCCAAACCACCAACCAGGTATACCTTATACATGCACAAAGCGAACCCCCCAAGTCCCCTCGCATCCCAGTGGTTAAGCAACCAAATTAAGATTGATTAATGCTAAATCCTTTTAACAACATGTTATATTGCTGTTGGCTAACCCCACTACAAGCCAGAACCCCCCAAACATGTTCAAGCCTAAAACCCAGGGAAAACTCTCCTAACTACCCAAACCATGCCTAGACCCTCGTCTAGTACTGTAGATCCTTATGTTTTCACATAGATTCAGATTTCATCATCACCTATAGAACTCCGACATTTTTATAGATTTTTCAGGCTTCAACCCCCCCATTTTTCCGGCTGGTCTCCTAGGAATTCCTCCAAGGTCTGCGGCTTCTCGGCTGTCTCCGCCAGCACGCCGCGGATGGCCGCGACCCAGCGCCGCGTCTCGCTGTCGCGCTCCGTGGCAAAGAAGAAGACGCGGCCCGCGTGGGGCGCCTGAAACGATGGGGTTATCCCCATAGAGTTGGTATATAAGATCATATCTGGTATATATATATATGGTATATACTGGTACTGTGCATATATGGTACCAGTATATTTGCATAAACATATATGGTACTGTGCAAAAATACTGTGTACATAATCTGGTTGGTGGTATACCCTCTGGTAAACTAACAGTTTGCTATTGAAAATGGCCATAGAAATTAGTTGATTTAGCCATCAAAGATTGTGATTTTCCATAGTTATGTTGTTAGTTTACCAGAGGGTACCCAAACCCAATCCCAATCTGGTTGGTGGTATACCTACCCCTCTGAAAAATATGCTCGTCAGTTGGGATGATGAAATTCCCAATATATCGAAAAATCATCCAAATGTTCCAAACCACCAACCAGTAATTGATATTTATCCATTAATATTTAGCAACTAGATTTATGAGACTTTATTAATTGGTATTATTTACCCATTGATATTTACCAACTTTTTTGTGATAGTTATATATCCAACTAAATATTTATGATAGTTGGGAAATATTGGGTATATAACTTTGGTTAGATATAACATGATAAAACGATCTATCATTAATATTCATTGATAGCAATCATACATGGTTACCCTCTGGTAATCTCTGGTCAATTAGTCCCCGAAAGTAAGCCATTTTTAGTGGACACTAATCTTCCAAAGCCTATCTGCCACGGTCTATGTTAATTTACAGGATGATTAATAGTTTGTAAATATCAATGGGCTTATAGTTAATGAAGTTCTAAAACCAACTTCTAGTTACTTGTGTTCAAAACTGATAACTGGGATGATTTGGCCACCACATACCGGCAACTTCAGACTCTGATTTCTCCCTGTTTGGAGTTTTAGGTGCGTTTGGGTTCTGTATTTCTTTGGATTTGTTGAGTTTATTTGTGATGCATATGTTTGCAGGAGTGCTTGTTTTTGTTTTTGCAGTTTTGAGGGCAATCAATTGCTTTTTTTTGTTCTTGGTCATGTACTGAACGAGATTTTCGGATGTTGATGCTTTAACCTCAATTTTCGATGGTGAAATATGGTTAAAGATAGTTGAATACTGTTTTTTCATATGGTTACATCAACAATATCTAACCAAAAAATAGCTTTAACATGTTTTTATATGGTTACACCAACAATATTTATATAACATGATATAACCACATGTTAAACCTCCATTCTTCGGCACCCAGGTGATGTTCGGATGTCACCTCTGGCCCCGTCTGCAGCGCGAAGCCATGTTGGAACTCCTCCATGATACGCCAGGCATGCCGCGACCAGTCGAAGTAGGAGGCCTGCATTCACAAGTTACCCTCTGGTAAACTAACATAACTATGGAAAATTTTTGTTTTTAATGGGTAAATCAACTATAAATGGCAATTTTCAATAGCTATGTTAGTTTACCAGAGGGTAATTAATGTGGGTAAAGCAATGTCATAAACCACCCATAGTCCTGGGAATGGTAAACATACCATTTTTTACTACCTATAAAAATGGTGATGATTGGGGGATGGTTTATGACATTATTTTACCCATAATTAGAATGATTAGTAGCATCCCCAAAGAAGGTAGGAAGGTCATTTACCGCTATTTTGGTAGGATATTCTACTTTCCGATTTTTCGGGCTTGCTATAATGATGTTTCAATCAACGAGAATGATCATTTTGCCACGGCAATTGTGTGTTTCAGCCGATTTTGAATGATTCTAAACGGTTCTTCAATCGGCAAAACCTAGAAAAGCGTGACAAGTTATTATTAAAACCCTTGTCGGGCATAAACCATCCCTAAATCGCAAAATTGGTTACGTGATTTCTTGGGAGTGTCACGAAAATTAGGTGTGTTAACCTAAAGGCCGTTGTAGTAGACCCGCAAGTCTCACTTTCTCCATGTCACATATCCAGTGGCCAATGGCTGTGAGGCCATCTGTAGTTTCCATGGTTGAGACTCATACATGACTGGTACCCGACCCGGGCCCAAGTCTATGTCTGCCCACAAGATAAACACTTCCATGCGCTTATCGATGTGACTGGAAGAGGTGATCATCTCATGGATTGCCAGCAGCAAAAATGGTGATCTTCAGCTTCGACAACAAAAGCATGGATTCTTGACCCAAATATCTAACCATTAACCCAGGTGAGACACAATTTGAACTGGTCGAACGCCCGCTGCTCACTGATTTCAGGGTATTGTTGATATCATGAAAAGTTAAGCAGGAAAAAACCTAGTCGATCATGTTGGTCATGTTGACAAGCAACAGGAACTGCAATTTGTCCCCAACAGAACAGGTAATTCTTTGTTAATGTTAGTTATATCCCCACTACATCCCAGGTTGCCCAGTGGTTGCCCCAAGGTCCCAAGGTGCGAGGTGTTGGGGCCATTCGGGGCCTGCCGCGTGGCACCACGCAGTCGACCAAGCTCATCCTCGAAGGAGGTGACATGGGCACCGCTGTGGGGAGCCAATTGGATCTCGCCCTTCAGTTGCCTCGGGCTTTTGCGGCCACTGATGAGGAAAACATAGGAAAACCGTTTAAAAAAAACCATGCATCATGGCCAAAGAAATGTATGTTGAAGCTGCCTGGCAAGAGGAGAGCCACTCGGAAAAACACATGGAATATATGAGCATCAGGGGAGCTATATAAACCGAAAATCTTGGAATGCGAGCATCAGATGAGATTTGAGTGTCAAAGAGGTGCCCAAAACCACTGTTGTTTGAATACAAAAAATGATCCAACCTTGGGATGATTTTAGGGCACCATTATGTGACACAGATTTCCCTGAACAGATGGGGAGAACAAAAAACATGAACCATGCGGGGGCAACTGATATTTCTAGATATTTCTACTAGTACGAGTCATTCTGGAGGTGAAGCGATGGGAAAACAATCCACCATGTAAGGATCAATGATCAACCAATGTATTGGTTGCTGGTTCCAACCTCTTCAGAATAGGTTGGATCCTCCCAGGGTAGAACTGGATGATATCCGCTCAAACAAGTGGCTTACACTGGGTCATGTGCGTTACAACCACCCAAATACTCATAAACTAACCGGAAAGTATGATGAATGTCCAATTATAATATCTTATAATGGTCCAACAAAAAGCTAGGTACCACTGAGTTAAAATAGTTGCTTATTTTAACATGTTTTAACCACATAACCACTTAACTAACTAAGTAACCCTAAGTTATACCGGCGTTATAACCACTTAACTAATTAACCCCCTGGTTCATGGTTCATCGCCACGGTGGCCAAGGCTGGCTGCCAAGGCACACCTCGCCCGGCCGTTCGCCACTGGTAAAGCCGCCGCTGGGGGCTGAATAGCGAAGGAGACCATGACCTGCAAATCACTGGATTGCGAGAGGAAAATCTTTTCCGGAAACCATGGGATTTCCCCCATGAAAAGGATATATAACATGATATAACTAACATTTCTAGGGGATCTAACCATGGGATATAACTGATATAACTTATAATAGTTCCTCATGAAGGACTTACATCATTACAACAACCTCAATCCTATGGTTAGGAAGTCCCTCATTTCGTGGGTTGTCCCAGAACTTGTGAGTCGCAGGATGATGTGCATGCCCTTTTTCGGTGGCACCACTGCTGGGTGAGGCCAGGGGCCATCCCTGAGCAGCTGGTGCAGAAGGATGGAGAGCTTTGATCTTCTGGCTTCCATCTGCTGGATATTGTCTCCTACCTCATCAGTGAGCAGCCTCACTGTAAAGGGTGAGCTGCAAACCTCAAGCCCTGGTGGAAAGCCAGGTTGTTTGGCTGCAGAGCCCCCAAATACCCAGCTATCAGCAATGGCAAAGACTCGGGCACGCACAAATAACCCACATCCATTGCAGTCTTGATGCTTGGCCAGTCAAGCTCCCCCAGATTGATGGGCTCACTGGGCCCAGGGGTTGACATGAAATCAGCCCATCCTGCTGGCTGATGTTGCTTGTTCTTGAGCCTCTTTGGTACAGAGGCCCCCTGGTGCCACCTCATCTTCATTGGACCTCTTGCTGCCCACTGCTTTATGGGGGGCCCTGACACCTGCAGGCTCCCTCCACCTGCTGTCCCCTGGGGCATACATGGGGTTGGCCATAGCTAGCACAGGGTATCAGGGGACAAAAACCTACAAACACTTGAGCTTGGAAATGGCTACACACATTTGAATCCTTCCACAAAACATCTTTTCCAAGCCAACTTGCTTGACATGAGAAAACTACCTAGCAAAAGCAGCTGCAGAACAAAGACACGCCAATGCACTTGACAAACTTTGAGCCCCAGCTCTGTAAAACCTAGCTTTGAAAAGCCGCCTTGTTTCCAATCAAACTTCCCTGGAGCATGTCAAACAATGCCAGTGGATTGCATAGCATGTTGATCCTCCAAGTAGTTGAAAACTGGGTGAAACCATTTTTTTAAAATATTTTTCCTCTCATTCCATGGATTGGTTTGTTGGGGAAATCTTAACCGGAAACCATGGTTTTTACCATCATAGGCTAGGGCTTTCCTGTAAATGTTCCCATAGTTCCCATCATCCAATTCTATGACTGCTTGGTTTCCCATCTGACATCGATGTAGGGCACGGCAACCCCACCTTTTGGTAGTTGGCTTAGCTCACACCATCGCTCCTGCCAGGAATCCTGCGGGACAGGATTCCCCATCAACATCCATAGGAAACTGACTGTCACTGGATTGGTTTGTTGGGGAAAATCTTCACCGGAAACCACTGGGGGAAAACCCCATAGGCCCATAGGGTTTCCTGTGATTTTTCCCGTAAACCAACCCAATGAGACTCAGACTGTAATCGGAAACATAAGCAACACTATGATATATAGATCCAATTCATAATTCATGATCAAATGGTCAGGTTGGTAACACAATTGGTTTAACTAGCAAAAGTCACAGATTAACCAGCAATAAATTGGATATTAACTATATATAACTATATAGTTAACTATAGATTAGATTTTGTGACTACCGTGGAGTAGTTATTGGTGCGTAATCGCAAGAGCCAATTGGAACATGCGTGGGATTGATGTGATTTATCAAGGCAGCAAACCCAATGCAACAACCTCCCATTATCATATCTCCCATTGGAAAAGCATAGTTGGTAGAACTGGGGATGGTATGGGATGGTGAGGTTGGTAAAATTGGGTTTGCCTCATTGCCTATGCCCTTCGCAAAAATATTTAACATGGTTCGATTCAATCATCTACCAGATTGGTTTTCTTGGGAAAATCTTAACCGGAAGCCATTGATTTTTCCGTCAAATAAAGGGTGTTCCCGTATTTTTTTCCCTTAAACCAGTCCAGTGAAATAGTGTAAAATAAATGTAAAATACAAATAAAACAAGTCCTTCCTTCCTGATCAGACTAGCGTGATGACGTTCAAACTCCAATCTTCTAGCAGGCTGGGCGCACCGGACCGGGCGCACCCTAAAGTTTGACATTCCACGGAATGACAACTTCCAACTGAACACTAATATGCTAATCCTCTGAACCCAATTTTTGTGTTGGGAAGTGGACATTCAGTCTTAAATATATGGACACCCAACGGTTTCCAGGGACAATGATCTGCAAATGGTTGGTTTTTGATGTTTTTCTTGCATATTTATATATAGGTTGATTATCCCATAAAATTACATATTGCTTGATTTCACCCCGACTCATGGTGGTGCCATGGTTACTGCCATTGCGTCAACTGCCAAGACACTTGGAAGGGTCGCAACTTTGCACGTTTGGTGAGCCAGCCGCTCATCAAAATCTTTTCTCCAGGCAACCATTTTTTCCCCTGGCACGTATCAAAACGGTGAATTTTACGGTGTTTTGGTAGTTATAAGACGTTTCAGACCCTTGGCTTTTGATGATTTCTCGGGGACTTTAATCAATGGAGATTTAGGGGGGGAGGGGGGCGGCCCTAGCACAAAAATGCTGAGCTTTTGGATTGAAGTGCCGAGTTGATGGTCAATTTTTGTGTTAAATCGTGTGACCTCCACATTTTGAATCCTTCCGAACTTTATGATTCAACCCCAATCCTGATTTATGATCAATTTCATTCAATTTCCAAGTTTTAGATGTTGAACTCCGATTAGACCACGGTTAAAATCTCGATTTAAGATGGCTAAATCCTCCCTTACTAGATGTTTAAACATATTTTTTTCAATGGTGAAAATCCCTATTTTGGATGGTTCACTCCAGCATTTTCCATGGCTTCAATTATGTTAAACCACCAGTTTTCATGGCTAAATCCAACATGTTCCATGGTTTTTCCATGGTTTTTCCATGATAAAAACAGGTCAAAGCCCTCCATTTCTGGTGATCCCCGGCCATCCCCGGCGTCCCCGCCATCGGCGCCTTGTCGGCGCCGGCGCTGCTGCCGTCCGCGGACGAACGGCGCTCCAGGGAGGAGCGGCGCTCGGCGCGGAAGCCTTCGCGCAGGAAGCTGTCCACGGCCTCCTGCGGCCGTAGAACCGTAGTGGTGAACTGTGGTGAATGATTTTTGAGTTGCTAAGAGTTGCTAAGAATCATGGTATCATGGTATCGTGTTTGTCAATTATTATAGTAATTAAGAATTATATAATGGTTAAGTATGGTTCTTCATGGTTGATTGGTAGTGGTTGATAATTAACTATGGCTTCTTAATGGTTCATTGATAGTGGTTAGCTATGGTTGATGGTTCTTAATGGTTCTTAGTGATTCTTAATGGTTCTTAATGGTTGTGCATAATTCATCATTCATAGTGGTGTTAATAAGAGTGGTGAACTACGGTGAAGTTGATAGTGGTTAACTATGGTTTTGAAAGGTTGTTAACCATTAACTATGACAATTCCATTAACTATTCCATTATATAACTATGGTTCAACTATGGAATGGCTAACCAATTGTTAACCATACTTAAAGGTAGTTAACTATGAACTTTCCATTGGTTCTTAACTATGACAATTCCATTAGTGGTGAACTATGGGGCCATGGTTGTGAATAATTCATCATTAATAGTGAATCATTCCATTGTTGTTGTTTATGGTTCTAGCTATGGTTGTTGATGGTTCTTAATGGTTGTTAATAATGGTTATATATAACTATGATTAATGGTTAGTGATACTAGTTCATCATTCCTTGGGTAGCAATCAATAATAGTTGATAAATGTTAATAATAGTGGTGAACTATTTTTCATTGATAGTGGTTAACTATGGTAACTAATGGTAACACATGGTTCTCCTTAATGGTTGTTCATGGTTGACTATGAATGTTCCATTAGTTCTTACTAGTACTATTCATGGGTGTTAATGGTTATTGATAATGGTTTATCATTCCATGGTTAGCAATCACCAAAAATAGTTAATAATAGTTATTGGTCATGGATTGTTTTGATAGTGGTGAACTATGGTTAATGGCTGTTAATCATGGTTAAGTATGAATAGTCCATTAGTTCTTAATATGTAATCGATTTCATTGGTAATGGTCGTTAATAATGGTCATTCAAAATAGCAAAGCCATTAGTTAACATCATTATTATAATCATTGACAATGGTTGTCCGTCATGAATCATTGTTATTAATGGTATGAATGGCCACTGTAAAAGCGAAAGCTAACCATGCTACCAATGGAAGGAAAACTTAACCATTTGTCAATATGACTATTGGTTAAGCCATTGTGAGTTACTATCTGCGATTACTAACTATTATACAAATCATAGCAATCACAATAAGGGTAATGGTCGTTATTAGATGTCATTAGTATTTTTAGTCAAGCCATGACATATTAGTACGATTTGCTAACTATTAACATTCCATTAGTCATTATTGATGAGGGAAAGTGAAACCAATCATTAGCTATATAGTATACTGACTCAACTACTATCAACAACTATTCCATGAAGGGGGAAGAGAGCAGGGATACAGCAGCTTCATTAAGAGAAAATAGACATTCCCAAAGACTCGTGTTGTTTTCCCATGGATGAAGACATCGTCCCTATGACAATCTCAGGGGACGATCATTACCATTCCAAGTTGGAGAAGCTTTTGGACACACTTCCATCCTACAAACCCATCAGTTTTTGGAATCTGAGATACACTGAAAATTCATCTTGAAATATCTCTATCATCTGAGATAACCTGAAAATGATGATAATCCATGATAATCCAGCATCAATATCATCACTGGGTGTTCATGGTATCCCCCTATGTCCCCATGTTCGATGGTTACCTTATGCTTCAAGGTTAACCCGTTGCTCCTTGACAGGCTCCACCTCAGAATTCGTCGTGTGGGACAACAAATCAAGAACCCTGGAAAACAAAATGATACCCATAATATCTCATAATACTCATAAACACTCCCAAAAATCATGTAACATTTGATGAACATAATGTTTCTCCCCCTCTCTCTACCTCTCTTCGGGCTTTTAAGCATCGACACGGCAATGTTGACATTACAAACTAGCGCTTGGATATTCCATGATAAGCTGCAAGTGGGTATGAAGATGGATAAACCCTAAATTTGTGATGTTTTTTTTTTGAGCTCTTCATTGCTCACTGTAAGACGTACATGATTTGTCGGTTGATTTACCTCCAACAAAAATACATTTTGGTGCTTTAAATCCAGGTTTACCGGCGACAACGTAAATCTGCCGCCTCTTAAACTTAGTAGATCTTAGTAGCATAAAATGTTCCACTTGTTCGCTAGCAACCAAAGAATAATTTCCAACTCTTGTTATTTGGGAGCTCCGCTTCAACTTTTAACAATTGTTCCAATTTTTAGCAATCAAATATCCCAACACATGGGGATTGGTCAAAACCTAGTATTTTACATATTATTTCCATATCGGAGGGTATAGACATCCATGAACCTGCTATTTAGGGTACCGTTGGGGTACCAGGGTTTTTGACTCATAGCCATACGTTCCCACTGTGGGAGGCCTCCTCCTCCTCCTCCTCCAACTGTGGCGGTGTCGACACAACCCGCGGTGGCGCCACCAGTGACCCACTGGTGCTGCGCGTCAATGGCAGACCCACAATGGCCTGGGTTGAAACAATGGGACACTGGGACACAGGGATTGATCCATGATGGTCCATGTGTTACCAGGGTAATGTTTGCGTCTGATTAATGTGAGGGCCCCCCCCCTAAACAATTTGAGGATACTCTATAACTCGCACTTTTTTTTGCCCCCGTCAACATTTTTTTGGTCAATCAACTTAAGAAAGGATTTCAATTTACTTTCAATTGATTTCAATTTACTTTTAATTTACTTTCAATTTATTTTCAATTGATTTCAATTTACTTTTAATTTGCTTTCAATTGATTTCAATTTACTTTCAGTTGATTGCAATTGATTTCAATTTACTTTTAATTTACTTTCAATTTACTTTCAATTGATTTCAATTTACTTTTAATTTACTTTCATGTTTTTTCACTCCCAAAAGTTGGTGCTCACAATAGAGTACCATCCAAACAATTATATTATTGAGTAACTGAGCCAATCATGAGGTATCCCCTTGAAAAATTGTCTGGGTGCTGTTTTTTAATAAGGGTTTAATAAGGCATCGAATTATTTGGAAAACCTTGCATTTTAAAGCTTTAACACAAATATGGCTTTCTGGAGTGAAAGAACCAGCTTTACCCAAAGAAAGGTGGAGAAAGATTTTTGCTTTTTTTTTCACTCCCAAAAGTTGGTGCTCACAATAGAGTACCATCCAAGCAATTATATTATTGAGTAACTGAGCCACTCATGAGGTATCCCCTTGAAAAATTGTCTGGATGCTGTTTTTTAATAAGGGTTTAATAAGGCATCCAATTATTTGGAAAACCTTGCATTTTAAAGCTTTAACACAAATATGGCTTTCTAAAGTAAAGGCATCAGCTTCACCCAAAGAAAGGTGGAGAAAGGGTTTTGCTTTTTGTTTCACTCCCAAAAGTTAGTGCTCACAATAGAGTACCATCCAAGCAATTATATTATTGAGTAACTGAGCCACTCATGAGGTACCCCCTTGAAAAATTGTTTGGGTGCTGTTTTTTAATACGGGTTTAATAAGGCATCGAATTATTTGGGAAACCTTGCATTTTAAACTTTTAACACAAATATGGCTTTCTAAAGTGAAAGGACAAGCTTTACCCAAAGAAAGGTGGAGAAAGGGTTTTGCTTTTTTTTTCACTCCCAAAAGTTGGTGCTCACAATAGAGTACCATCCAAACAATTATATTATTGAGTAACTGAGCCAATCATGAGGTATCCCCTTGAAAAATTGTTTGGGTGCTGTTTTTTAATAAGGGTTTAATAAGGCATCTAATTATTTGGGAAACCTTGCATTTTAAAGCTTTAACACAAATATGGCTATCTAAAGTGAAAGGACCAGCTTTACCCAAAGAAAGATGGAGAAAGATTTTTGCTTTTTTTTCACTCCCAAAAGTTGGTGCTCACAATAGAGTACCATCCAAACAATTATATTATTGATGTGCTCATCTCCAAAATCCACCAGGCAGCAAGACATTTTATGTCTGGGAATGGCAAAAGTGCAGGCGGCGGCCACTGCAAAAGGATCAAAAAGGGCCGTAGATCAAAAGGCCGCAAGACCCACTGTCAATCCGCCCCCAGCTCACAGGGCCGGGTATATGGGGGGGATCTTGAGCATTCAAACACAAGTGAGCGGCGGATTGCCAACTCTCACATCAATCATGTTCAATAGAACTTCCATGATGTGCTCATCTCCAAAATCCACCAGGCAGCAAGACATTTTATGTCTGGGAATGGCAAAAGTGCAGGCGGCGGCCACTGCAAAAGGATCAAAAAGGGCCGTAGATCAAAAGGCCGCAAGACCCACTGTCAATCCGCCCAACCTGAGAGATTATTGCCATAAGCTGCACTGGCCGCCAGGCCGAAATTGATGGGAGATCCAGTTGAAACAACAACACACAGAAATCAAAAGCACGAACAAAAATCAAATGCCAAAAAAACGTTTCAACTGAAAATTGTTTTGACACTCACGACTGTGGATTAAGGCTTTGGCAGCCTCAACAGCAAACTGTTTCGGGTAAGGCTGCGCAATTTGAGTCCACAGTTGTTTTGACACCGGATCTTGTCCTTTCAGGACAATATGGTGTTTATGAGTGCGTGAACAAATCCCTTTGTGGCCATGGCATGTGTGGTTTAAAGAAGGAAGTTCAGGCGCGTTCCAAGTTTGAATCCGAGTACGCTTTCTCCATCTGGCTCCATATTGACAAAAATCACGAACACAACAACGAGACTCAGAATGATGACATAACCGCAAAATAGGAGGGGCAAGCCACATCATAGAACCAGATGGATTCTCAAGGAAACATGGAACTTTGAATCTGCAGCACAAACGAATCAACCTGGCAGTACAAGTCATGGTACGATTCCCAACACGGATCTTATGCTGGTCATGAGAACTGAGACCGGGGATTCCATAAATGTGCTGGTTGTCGCGAAGCGGACCCCATGACGACCCAACCGGCCCATGCCTAGCCCGACTCCACGTAGTACAAGGGGTACCGAACCAAATCCCGAAAACACAACCACTTCGAATCCAACCATTAATAACCGGAAGAACTCTGGAGTCGGTGAGGTCAAGTCTGGGGTCATTCAAGATATCAATGGAGATAACAGGGAAACCATGTTTGTGGAGGTAATGACCAACACCACCATCACCACAAAAAAGGTCAAGAAAAACACCATAATGCTTATGACTAGCTTTACGTCTGGCATCCCTGAAATATCTTTTGAGAAGATCGGCACCTGTCAATGACCTAAAGGGCTTGGAGCGAGGAACCTTAGATTCCATCCTCTTGGTCAATTTTGAATTCCACTCATGTTGATGGTTCATGTAAGGCTTCTCAGAAGGCTTGGAAGTGAATGTAGGACATGAAGACCTGCCTCTTTCACATGCTTGGGGACTTTGTTCAGCTCGCTTTGCAAACGAGCCTCCTTCACATACCTCTTCAACGAGGCATCGCTGGACCAACGGCCGCGCTGCTTCACCTCCAGAAGGGATCTTCGGCGTGACAGGACATCGTGTGACGCCCCCCCGTGCCGCAGAGAGTACAGCGAAAGACCCAGGCTTTGAATCCCGAGCTGGCCGATGCACTGGTTGAAGATCCGTCTGAGTTCTGCATGGCTGTGAGTCCAAAGCTTCATCTCGGGCTGTTTCCCCTCTCGCAATTGCCCCAGTAGTGTTGTGATCCAAGGGTCGCTGTCGAGGATGATCGAAGCATCGAACACCCCTGTCTTTCCTGCGACCAGATCTTCCGTTGGGTGCAACAACACGGCCCAAAATCTGAAGGCCTGATTGGTGACCAGAACTGGAGGGACCACCTGTTTCACTTTCAGGGAACTGCACTCGCCTGGCCTCAGGTAAGTGATGAATTGAAAGAAAAGACGGAAGCCCATCTCTTTCTGATTCATGCTGATCATGGCGCCAATGATGGCACATAGCACTTCCAGTGGGATTGGCATTCTTTGGAGAGGGGGGGCAGCAATCTGCCATCCCTTCAAAGCTCTGGCCACCCTTGGAACATTCTTGAACTCGGGGCGAAAGAACTTCATGGCTGCCACCACCCGGATCCCATCGTTGATCCCGCGGTCCTCGTCGAAGAGGGTCTGCAGAAAGTCGACCAACGTGGCGTCCATCTCCTGAGCCGTCAATGGGATCAAATCCAGGTGGAGGCACCAAGTCTGAAATTCTTGATACCGCCGGGTGTAATCTGCTATTGTCGGTTGCCGGACACTTCGGCTCTCCAGGTAAGTCATTCCCACTGGAACTATTGTTGACTGTGCCACTTGCTGACGCCTTTTCAAATTTCTCTCGGCCTTCACCTGATTCACCTCCTTTTTGCTTCCGCGACCCATCGCTCTGAAACCAGCTATCAAGACCTCTGCTAGCCCACTGGGTGAGCGCCCTGGACGGTCGATCAGCACAGTTCCATTCTGATGGGATCCATCGGACATTGACCTTTGAGCCACATGCAAGAGCACAGATCTTTCTCAAAGGCTGCAAAAGATGCCCGGACTTGCCACGCCCCTTGCTGGCGCTGAGTGCAAGAAGCAAATTGTCGCACAAGAAAAGAAGTCGTTTGTTAAGGTTACGATTTGACCGAAGAGCATGTTCAACCGCCCACACTAATGCCAAAGCTTCAGTATGCAGTATGTTATCTTCATGCGCCCAAGGGTGAGACCAAACCACTGACCATGATTCCGGCTTCAACACTTCCAAAGGGACCTCATGAAAATCACGTCGATTGAAATCAAGCTTTTGTGAAAAATCATGAACGGTATGCAAATCAGGAAACTTCCCAGCTTCCAACTCAGCCCCGACTATCTTTCCCGCGTGCTTGCGGGCATCAACTGCGTCCTCAAATCTGAATCTCCAACGCTCGCACTGAGACCCAATCACTCGGGCTGTGGAGTCACTGACTGTCCGGTGACAAATCCCATAGCCATAAGGGGAACTATCTGAAGCAAAAATATCCTGTGACCACCCAGTTGAAATCGTTGATTGAAACATTGGAAGGAGTGCAGAAATCCATCTGAGCTCAGTTCGAACCCGGGGCCATAACCTATGGGGTGTGTTACCACACTGATGTACAAAACTGTAGCATGCACTCAGGATAGACAACGCCTCCCGTCTGGCCATGACTGCCCAAGTTATGTGCCCAATGACAAGCTGCAAAAGTTCACCGCTAGCAAAATTTCTGCACAGGAGCTCATCAATACTCCGTTGAAGTTTCACAATTCGACTAGGTTTGATGCTGACCTTGCCCTTGACCCCATTGAATGAAAGACCAACAAATTCACCCTCATGTGCAGCCTCACACTCCTCATGAACGGTGAGACCAAAGCCGCGCAGTCTCTCACCAATCTTCCGCAGGCCTGCATTGACTGTGTCTTCGCAAGTGCCAATCACCGCGAAATTGTCCACATAACCAGCACAACCAACATCACAACCATGAGCAAGATGAACAGGCTTACCCTTATCGCTGATGATTTGAAGGTGATCAATGCCAGAAGTGATAATTGCATGGTTCATGACTTGTTGACACAAATGCAAGGCCCAACTCCACCCCATTGGCAGCACTGTGAGGTATGGTGTGATAAACTCGTCACGCCTCACTGCGTTGCCATCAACCTCATAGATTCCAAGGTTCTCGGCCTTAATGCCGGGCAGCGTGAACATCCGAGCCAAGCTGTCGGGGACTGCAAGGGTATAGAATGCATTTGCTAAATCACCAGAACCAATAAAAAATGGGCCAATACCATCAATGTCCATCCGAGTGAAAGCATCAGCTGAAGGCAAGTCGGTCTTCGGGGGGTCAATGAATTTCTCGTTGAGGATACGGGTGTCGAAGATAAGGCGTTGTTTGTTGTTCTTCTTCCGCACGAAAAACACGCCAAGGTCAGCAGGAGAACCATCATGCTGTTTGAATCTCAACATGTTTCTGTTTTTCAACTCCTTCAAAAAACCAAGATACTGTTTGGGATTGTGTTTGAAAATGGGATCCGTGTAGGGTTGTTTGATCTTTGAACCCAGGTCCTTCCCAGAGGTCGACAAGAGCATATGCTGTTGCCAAGTCGCTAGCCATTCACGGTCAGCCGGAGGAAGACAGTCCCGTAGGTCAACAGGAAAGGTCTCAACCTCAGGCCAGGACACGGAGTCCTTGGCATAGGACACAACGTCACTCCGATCAGTCTGATAGATCTTGGACGCACTGCATAGATCAGCCAAACAAGATGCTCCCGGGTCGATATCAACCGCACAAGAGGCTTCCCGATATGCTTCAGCTATGTTGGATAAAACCCGCTTCTGCGCGCGGGTGGGTTTCTTTTTTGAAAAATCTGAATTGACGCACCCAGAAAGTTCGTTGAGTGCTTTGATCCCTTGGTTCGCCAGCCTCTCCCACCCATCAAAATGAGCTTCGGACTTTGGGGACTCAGGGATCTCCGGCAAGGGGAAGATGTTACGTTGGCGAGGCCCACAGACATGAGATTCTCCAACAACTCCCCCGGCAACCAGACATGGCATGCAAAACATCATGATCAAAATCGACAGGAATCCATGAGGACGACAAAGTGATGAAGGACTGTGCTTCACTTGCCGCCCTTGTCCTCTTTGTCGGCATTCTTTCTCGACAAGGCCCGTTCTTCTCGAGCTTTCCTCCTCTCTTTGGCCACCAGAGCTTCTTTCTGAAGTTCCGAGCCCACCCATTCGGTGAGCTTGGGAGAAATGATGCAGCCAGCCCTTGAACCTCCAGAACTTCCCATGAAGAGAGCCGCTTCGCCCCCATCGTCGGCCGAGACCAACTTGTGCTTGTGACGCTCTTCTATCTTCTGCAGTGCCCGGACCACCAACTCCGCCGAGGCAAGGTTGCTCACATCCAATTGGTCGTAGGTCATCATGGCCTGCAAGACACGCGACCAAGCCTCGTGCTCTTGGGCAGGCCCATCGGATGGTTGAAGCTTGCATGCCACCCTCCATGCCTGATGATGTCCCAACGGCGATCCACCGTGATCTAACATCTGGCTGATGACATACTTGGTGGTTCTGGGTCCTGCGATGGGCCAGTCGGAGAATTCGCAGGGCTTGGCATCCTGGACTGCATTTCTGAACTCCTTGAATCGGTTGCCGTCCACATCTCGACTGATTGCCAAGGTGCGGGCGTCTTCGCCCGGGGGATCCACCACGCCTCCTCCAAGGCTGGAGCTTGTAGAGCAGCCGCGAGCTGAACATTTCCACCGCCTCCACCTGCTAAGTCGGCCACAGGCGCTGGTGCTTGACCAGCAGGACCTCCTCCTCCAGCATTGGGCGCGGCGGCAGCTGCAGGGGCTGCAACGACTGGTCCCCCTACAGGAGCACCAAGTCCCAGACGAGCTCGCTCTTGTTGAGCATGTTGATTCCCTTCGGCAATGAGCACTTGCAAAGCGGCAGCATTGGGTTCTGGGTTGAACTTGTGGACCATGTTGGGGTCGACACCAAAGGGAAGGGGACCTCCTATTGGCCAAACCCTCCATGCTGACCAATCTTGATTGGCGTCTGAAACATCTTCTATGTAGATGTCCCCGTCGGGGGTCAGAATCACCCAGGAGCTTCGGTCCACCAAGGACAAAAGATATCTGGTATGCCATACTACGTCGGTCTCGTAGAAAACAAGGATCCTACTGCCGGCCGTCAGGTCTCCACCCAATGGCTGTGCCAATGCGCCGGCCATCCACCAGGTCCTTTGACACCGGGCCCGTGGTCACACGCTGATTCACACCAGCCGCAAGGATCCACCACAGGCCCAGCAACCCAATGACAACCACAGCGGTGAGCAGAAGAGTTGTATAGGGCCCCAATTCGATGTGCCCGGTAGAGCAGGAGATATGGGGGCAGCTTAAGGACCCACACGTGACAATACAAGAAGGGCAATCAGACTTTTGATTGGACCCAGGAAGCCAATCACGCAAACCGTAACCCACAAGGATGGCGAGCGAATGCGTAGCTATCAGGACTGGATCTGCCATAACAAAATCTTGAGCATTCAAACACAAGTGAGCGGCGGATTGCCAACTCTCACATCAATCATGTTCAATAGAACTTCCATGAGTAACTGAGCCACTCATGAGGTACCCCTTTGAAAAATTGTCTGGATGCTGTTTTTAAATAAGGGTTTAATAAGGCATCTAAATATTTGGAAAATCTTGCATTTTAAACTTTTAACACAAATATGGCTTTCTAAAGTGAAAGGACAAGCTTTACCCAAAGAAAGGTGGAGAAAGGGTTTTGCTTTTTTTTTCACTCCAAAAAGTTGGTGCTCACAATAGAGTACCATCCAAACAATTATATTATTGAGTAACTGAGCCACTCATGAGGTACCCCTTTGAAAAATTGTCTGGATGCTGTTTTTTAATAAGGGTTTAATAAGGCATCTAATTATTTGGAAAACCTTGCATTTTAAAGCTTTAGCATAAATATGGCTTTCTAAAGTAAAGGCACCAGCTTTACCCAAAGAAAGGTGGAGAAAGGTTTTTTTTTTCACTCCCAAAAGTTGGTGCTCACAATAGAGTACCATCCAAACAATTATATTATTGAGTAACTGAGCCACTCATGAGGTACCCCTTTGAAAAATTGTCTGGATGCTGTTTTTAAATAAGGGTTTAATAAGGCATCTAATTATTTGGAAAACCTTGCATTTTAAACTTTTAACACAAATATGGCTTTCTAAAGTGAAAGGACCAGCTTTACCCAAAGAAAGATGGAGAAAGGGTTTTGCTTTTTTTTTCACTCCCAAAAGTTGGTGCTCACAATAGAGTACCATCCAAACAATTATATTATTGAGTAACTGAGCCAATCATGAGGTATCCCCTTGAAAAATTGTCTGGATGCTGTTTTTTTTAATACGGGTTTAATAAGGCATCTAATTATTTGGAAAACCTTGCATTTTAAAGCTTTAACACAAATATGGCGTTCTAAAGTGAAAGGACCAGCTTTACGCAAAGAAAGGTGGAGAAAGATTTTTGTTTTTTTTTTCACTCCCAAAAGTTGGTGCTCACAATAGAGTACCATCCAAACAATTATATTATTGAGTAACTGAGCCACTCATGAGGTATCCCCTTGAAAAATTGTCTGGATGCTGTTTTTTAATAAGGGTTTAATAAGGCATCTAATTATTTGGAAAACCTTGCATTTTAAAGCTTTAACACAAATATGGCTTTCTAAAAGTAAAGGCATCAGTTTTACCCAAAGAAAGGTGGAGAAAGGGTTTTGCTTTTTTTTTTCACTCCCAAAAGTTGGTGCTCACAATAGAGTGCCATCCAAACAATTATATTATTGAGTAACTGAGCCACTCATGAGGTACCCCCTTGAAAAAATGTTTGGGTGCTGTTTTTTTTTTATAAGGGTTTAATAAGGCATCTAAATATTTGGAAAATCTTGCATTTTAAACTTTTAACACAAATATGGCGTTCTAAAGTAAAAGGACCAGCTTTACGCAAAGAAAGGTGGAACAAGGGTTTTGTTTTTTTTTCACTCCCAAAAGTTGGTGCTCACAATAGAGTACCATCCAAACAATTATATTATTGAGTAACTGAGCCACTCATTAGGTACCCCCTTGAAAAATTGTCTGAGTGCTGTTTTTTTGAATAAGTATTTGGAAACAATAATTTAAAGTATTTGGAAAAAATAATTTTAAACACACAGCAAAAAATAATTGAAAAATAAAAATAAATTTAAAGTATTTGGAAAAATGAAAAAATCCGGAAAAAATCTCACAATAGAGCTCCCCCCCAACAATTAGCATGTGACTGAATTAGGAGCAAGAAATTTCTCACAATAGGGTACCATCTCTTTAATCATTCCCAAACATTATAACTATATTAACTAACAGACATGGGATAATCATGGGAACTTCACCAAAACTCATGGGATAACAATGGGATACTGATAAGTACTGATACTTTGGTAACATGATGTAATATGGTTAAGCCCATGTAAGCCTATGTAAGCCCATGTAAGCAAAATGTCAACATGCAAGTTCGAAAGTTTTCCGTGCCAGTTTTTTGGAAGCTGGACATGCTTGACCATTGGTTTTGACAAAGCAATGGATCGATGTGGGCCAAAAACTATGGATAGATTCAGCAACAAGAATAATACCCCTGTGGACCGCCCAGGGAGGTTCACTGGTTTTAAACAAATGAGAAATTGAAATCATTTCGTAGGGTTCCACCCTATCAACATAGAAAAACAATTATGTTACATAATGATGTTAATCTTGGAGATGTTAGCTATAACATCCAATTACATCAAAAAACTATTAACACAAAAAACAAAAACTCTTTCCCAGCTTATAAACTTCGGTCATATTCATCCAACATCTCAATTTCTTATCCTGTCCCCTAGCTCCCCCTCGAAAACATTCCTAATGTCGAATCCGCGCCCAATTTTTTTTCCAGTCCCCTAATCACCCCCTTCATTTTTTTTTACATATGGCCAAAATCCAAAATATAAATCCATGTTCCTCAACATAGGACACTAGGTCATCTTATATGTATATTCCTATCATTTCCTATCTATATGTCAAAATTGTCACAACCTAATTAATATCTAATAAACCTTTAACATGTGCAAAATTATTATTTTTGTGTTTTTGTTTTTACTACCGGATTAGATTTTGGTAGTACAAACGGGTATATATACAAATATGGACATAACTAAGCACAAATGGGGTGACCAAAACTTAACCAGTAAATTTGGGATAACAACAACACTGGCAGAAGAAAATCGGGCATCAATTTTCCATAGAACAAGCATCTTCAAGATCATGCGCAATATAAATGGGAGTTGTTCTAACTGTCTGGTGAAATTTGCAAGTTTTGCACCCTATTCCCGGTTTTTTTAGTCCCAATTGTTGCGTTAAACACTTGTGTCATCCCCATGTTTGTTGCTTAGTCCTCACCACTTTGACGGCTGCCTTCCCATTTTCCCGAGCTCTCTCTCTATTAGTTAGACTTCGATCCCATGAATAAACCCCTCTAGACATTCGAAAAAAATGCAATTCGTGCTGCTTAGATTCTCATGTTCACAACTTAGTTGTGAAGTTCAGTGCCCGTGTTCGTTACTTCCGATTTATCAAATTTAGCTTATTTTCACCAACCATTTAATCAAGCTTCCTCATTGCACCCAACTTTGGTTAGAATCATCTAAAGCTTCATTATACCAATAAACATCCATAATCAATGCCCATCAATCATCACCAACAATCATATAAAAGTGATTGTAACCTTGAATGTAACAATTATGATAAATTAATCGCATCAATACATCGATATTATCATAAATCCAATTGGATTGTAACCTTCAAATCATATGTAACCAATCACCATCAGCAACAATAAGTGATTGATATCCCATAAATCACATAACCCATAAATATATAAATCAGATAAATGACCCCCACTTATCAATTTATCCCATCAATGATTCCACCATTAATCCATCAACAAGTACCATTAAGTATCTTCCCACCATCAATCCCCATCAATCCGTTATTTTTCTAATGTTTTTTTAATTGATATAAGTTTGATATAAATCCCATGAATCATCACCAACAACCCCCGTGTTTCATCGCCAGGCGTCCGGCAGGCGCCGTTCCACCTGCCTTGTGCGCCAGTCGTTGCTGACGCCGAAGCCGCTGAAAAAGTGGCCGCCGAGCTCCGCCAGCTCCTTAGTGGAGGCGCAACGGCGAGTTGGGAATCTCTAACCAGAGTTGGGGAATCTAATTGGTATCAAAACATATGGGGAAATACTTTCTAATATAATGGGGAATATCACAAAATCCATTGAGCTTGGCATCGCAAAAAATGCTCATTAGAGTAGCAAAAGGGATGATCAAGGAATTCAAGTTGCAACAATTAGGATTTGGGGATGATAAAGGGGTTGAAGTTGATTGAAAGCGTTGATTTTTTGAATATTGAGATTCCAATTGTGTTTTTTAAATGATTTTGACCATTAAAAATGGTAGCTAGCCAGTGCACATATGGTCAAAATTTGGATTCAAGTAAAAATGCGTAATTTTTCATGGACCATCATTTTTTAAGATATCAAATTGCAGCTCACCTGAGATCAAAAGCCAGTGAACTAGCCGAGGTTTTGTGGGTTTGTGGGATTAACTATATATAGTCCTTTGCTTATGGCCCAAAATAGATCCATGTCTACTTTATCCAACAAGAGTTTGTTTCATCCGTTGTCAGGGGTTCAACCCCCGTTTTCTTCAAGTTTGCTTCCAGCAAATCCACGCTTCAATGCTTGCCTCCCTATTTTTTTATATATAGGTTTAAACTCTTTTTCGGATGCTGGATGATGAAAAACACATTTTTCGGATGCGACGCAGGTTGATGACTTTCAGAGAAAAAATGCTTGGTGAAATCCTCATGTCACATGTAATCTGAATTTTTGGAGGCTACCCTCTGGTTATTTTATAGGGGATATAATGGTAATACCCCCTGGTTATTTAACATAGCCATGGTACAGACGGCCCATAGAAATAGATGGTTTACCGTTCTTAAAAATGGGTGGATTTTCCATGGCGAACTGTTAAATAACCAGATGGTACATATCACCATATTTTTGCTGCTTGTCTTCCCATGACGGAAACTTGTTGTTTCAAGATACAAACTTGTTGCTTAATTAAGATATAATTATATCCTAGCTTTCATGGCTATCGTTATTAGCTAACTACCTTTAAAAAGGATTGAACTTCCCACTCATGAACTCCTTTCACCATAGGTTTATAGGTTAACTTTAGATATACTGATATACTACTAGGTACTACTATATAGATATGTTCAAACAGATGCATCACCGAAACAGGTTCCATTTCTTGCAAAGTTGTTACCATGATATAAATGATATCTGGCCAAAAGCGAGCAGCGCGAGCTTGATGCATTGGTCTGCGAAATATTTTTGGCGTCTTGAACTTCCAAGGATATACCATCTGGTTATTTAACATAGCCATGGAAAATCACCATTTTTAATAGGTAAACCATCTATAGATGGGCCATTTTCCATGGCTATGTTAAATAACCATAGGGTAAATGATAAGGCGGTCCTATAGATTTCATGACTTCCCTCCATCAAACGTGGCTGGGAAATCCTCTAGAAATTGAGGTTTTTGTTTTTTAATGGGAAAATCATGGTATTACATGGGGATTTTTCCATTGCCATGTTCGATTACTGGGGGGTACATTATATAATATTAAATATATACATATATATATATTGCCATCTGGGAGTCTAAGATAGCCGTGAAAAATGAACGCCACTTTGCACTCAGGATTTACATGAATTTACCCTCCAGCAGTATAACAGGATTTAGCCATTTATGAACCAACATAGCGAACTGGAAATCACCATCTTCAAAAAAGGTAAATCGATTATCTCTATGGGCCATGGGTTCAATAGCTATGTAACAAACTACCAGAGGGTAGCCATTTAAAACCTTCAGAGTCCACATTGCTGGATCCCAGGTACTAGCGCCATCGCAGCCTCCATGTCCTGATGGTCCAAGCGAAAGATGGTCGCTGAAATTTCTTGGGAACAATGTGCTTGGTTTTCACACAACAAAAACAAAATAAAACACGCGCAATTCCGGATAAACATATGTTTATTTTGTGATGTTTTGGATGGTGAAGCGCTAGCAAAATTGAGTTTGGCCCCGGGAACAAATAAAAAACAGAACAACTCAGGATAAATATAGGACTTTTAGTTTGATTGACTTGAACGACAAGTTGGAATATTGAGTTTTAAATATGTTGAAATGACTTAGGCATAGGCTCCGCCAACCACTTCCAGTCATCATTTGGTTTTGGGGCGTCCTATTGGTCTTCACTGCCAGTCAAACGGCTTCTCCAAAAACTTGGCTTACATCTTTTAAGTGCCCCGATCCAATTTGGACGAAATGACTTTAAACAAATTGACAGAACCAACATTGTTGAATTCTACCATCCAACACACGAGGCATATTTCCCTCAATGCGTGCAAGACACCACATGAGCCACATTTATTGTATCCATGTCATCCCTACGCCCCAAAACATGTGCTGGCCGAGCTAGAAGGCCATCTGTGTAAAATTGTGTATTCAATTCTGGGGTTTCCCTTGGAATAGATGCAACAAACAAATCCATATCTGTTCATTACAAGATATGCTTCTCATCCCTTCTCCATATCCAAAGATTTGCAAAGTCCACCTTTTTGGGAATCCCCAACACGTATGAAGACTATCGTAGCTTCCGACTTTACTTTGCCATCGTTTTGTTTCAACGTTTGCTTCGCAGATTCGCTGCCCAGGCTCCACATCTAAGGAGGGCTTTCGGTGAAGATCATCGGGTGGCTCCATGTCCAAGATCTTCTCCATCCCCAGCAGGGCCTGAGGCTTTGGTCAGCTGATGCTTGAGCTGATGGCTCGAGCCTAATAAATGTGTTCAAGTGACTTTGGATCAGTCCAGTTGAAAATCACGGAGTTACTTCAAACATGTTCAAACCACCTAGCAGTTGTGAACACCAGACAGTCCCTGACCATTGGTTGGGAGGCGACCAAATCACCAGCATATCATGATTACATCATGTAATGATCATAGGGAGACAGTTCAAGTAAAAGGATGAGAATACACAAGGCACATATTGAGCCACTGTGCGACCACGATTGTGCCAAATCCCACAGGCCAAACGCACGCCATTGTGTTTGGCGACGCAACAATTTTTGAATGTTCAACCAAGGTTACTTTGCTGCTGTGCAAACCCCCAATGTAGCAATCATAATATCTATACATATATATATACACTTGATGTATTCATGGCATATTATTATGGTTTCACTTAAGACACTCAATTTATTCCTGTGATCTATATCACCTTATATAGATCGCTATGGGTCTTTTTATGGCCCAAAATTGGGTGAATCATACACACAATGACCAACATCGTCCACAAGGCCTGCAATTTTGGCACAACCCTATTTACCAGTACAAATGGACTGATGTGTCTGAAAGCCCATTCGCAGCAAATGATTATTTTCCTACGCAGCTACACCATTTTCTTGCTTAAGTTCCCATGTCATGTGATCAATTCTGTTCCCATCTTTGGCGAAAATCACCCAAAATCCACAACAGAGTTAGATTCACTCCAACAAATACTTGTGCTCAGTTACAAAGTCACATTCATGGTTAAAACATGTTAAAACCCCGCTGTTTATTGGTCAACCCCCTCTTGCCAACGAACAATTAACCGACCAAAAACTACGCTCGAAATTGAAAAGCGTAAAGTGTGCAACGTCGTTAAATGGGGACAGGGTCACCCAAACTTAAACCCATTTCAGGTAAAATGGGGTAGGTAAGTACCCTTGAAATAAAAACATCATGTGGGTACAACATGGTAAAATAATAATAAACCATCCCCCAAACCACAATTTTTATAGGTGGTATGGTTACCATTCCCAAGTGGGTGGTTTACTATTGTTTTTATCCACATTACTTGAAAACGATGGGTAGTTCATCCTGAATCGAAGGCAACCCAAGCGCCAAGTCACTCCTCCCTCCTCCACGATGTATGCTCCGAGAGAACGCGCCCGTGAACGGATCGAGGCTTGGTAGATGTTGGTGCGCAAGCAGCAAGCACCAAATCCTCAGCATAGATGTCGAACAGAATCCCCAAGAGAGATGTGTCTGTCTGTGTCTGTCTGAACAATTCGGGAAAATCAAATGAAGCAAGAAACCATGGGGTTTCAGATACCAACATTTAAAACGTAAGTTACCATCTGGTTATGACATTGCCAGTTCGCCATGGAAAATCAATCACCATTTTATAGGTAGGTAAACTTACTAGGTACATCTGGTTATTTAACATAGCCATGGAAAATCACAATTTTTAATAGGTAAACTATAGGTAGACCATCTATTTCGATTGGGGCCATGGCTTAACCATGGCGAACTGGCAATGTCATGGATCTAAGATTTCACCAGCAATTCTGCGAGCGGCTCCGTGGCACGGCAATGGTTCCAGACCATTCGCGTCGCAACGGTTCCATGGTCAATTCTAAGATACCCAAGAAAAAAAAGGTCAGTAAATATCTCAGATATCTCCATGTATGGTTTACTATTCATATCATATTTCCATCTATTTCCCTATATTATGGTTTTAGATGGTTATAGTAAAATTATTTCCATCGAAGTGATATATCCATGACAAGGAAAACTGAATGATTCACTGTGACCCATGACCATGCCAGTTCCGGCTGCTGAAGGCCAAGGTTGTAGTGCCCATCCATTGCTTACCAGCTTACCCAGTCATGCGCAAACACCTAGGCCCCAACATCCGTTGTTATATAAGTGGTAAATCGGTGGAATATGTTTGTATATAAATATAATGGGAAATATTTGGGATCTACCTTAATATCCATGTACGTGGTAGAACTTTAAACACTCTTAAACCACCAATATGTTTGTTGCTCAATATCCTAAATCCTAAAATTGTGTGTATGAATATGTGTATATTATATATATATATCCCATGATATCCCCGCGTTTATTGTTTTCCCCCACTTAGATTTCTGATGGAGTTCGTTAAGTTGTGAATAAATGGGTTGTCAGTTTTAAGCCAATATAAGCTAGCAATAGGGAGATTTCCTCCAAATCACCTGTTTGAGAATTAATCATTGCTATATTGCTCATCTAAGCCCTTTTCCCACTACACGGCACTACACGGCCAAATTTATTAACCGGCATCATTACCTTCTTACTTCGTAACAAAAACTCAATACGACCAACCTATGACCCAAACAAAACAATCTTTATCATCCTCATTGGCTGATGGTTGGATGATGTTAAATGTCCATGTTTCATCACTTGTTCATGGTAAAAATCATGGTCAAAAAATCCGCATGTTCATGGTTTCATCAGTTTAATCATGGGTTTAACCACCTTTAATCATGGTATATCATGGTTTAACCAAAGATTTTCATGGTTTAACCGTTTAACCATGGCCTAACCACCAATTCACCACCATTTCTCATGGTTCAAGGCCAAGCCTCTCACCACGGAGCACCACATGGCCTCCTCTCTCCGTTGCCACGGCAGCTTTGCCCGGTCGTAGCACGGCAGCTGTCCCTCGCATCCGTCGCCGCCCCGCTTGGCCACCCAGGCTTCGGCGGAATCCATGCGGAAGAGGCGCCGGAAGGCGTAGGGGGTCCTGAGAAAAATGGGGAAACATATGGAAAAAATGCCGACTTGGGGAAAATCTATGGAATTAAATTTTAGATAACTTCAGAATTTCAAGAAGTTAAGTGACATCTTTCCAAACAAAATGGAGCTATATTAAGGTCTATCAAATCATTAAATGTCTTGGCAATTTGATCCAAGAAACAGTTGGAGTTGACTATGGTTTAACCAAATTAAACACAGAGAAGTGGAAGTTGAGAGGTTACAGTATTACTGTACAGCTGTTTGGTCCTGGGAATGCATTGAAACATTATTGAATGAATTTAAAGCATACCAAGCATATGATCAGGTTTGCCAAAAAGATTGACATAGCCCAAAAATCAAAAAGGTACATTTTAATTGGGGAAAGCACCTCTACAAGCAGTTGTTTTTTTTATGGAGGATCAACAGGAAACCATGGATTTTAAGTGGGGCAAGGGAAAATTCAAAAAATCAAGCAAAAGAACTTGGTGGACTTCAATTGAATAGGTGCAGCAAGTGAACTGTGCGCAGAAACTTGCAACCCAAGGGAAGCACTGTGGAAAGCCCAGTGACAAACGATCTACCATTTACCTAATTTCACCGCTTGAATCTATTCGAGTGGCTCTTACAACAGACCCTCGCGTTTCAAGCTGTTCAACGTGGAACCAGGTCCCGGCAACCAGGGGGCAACTCGGGCACTACAAAATGTGTCACATTTTACCCCCCGGTTTTTTTCTGCAAAAAACGCAAAAGGTCCACATCTTATCTGTAAGTAGATCTATTACTATCTCCACTGGAGGTATTTCATTTGGTTGTAAATGCACGACACATCTTGACGTCTACTGGTCTACTTATGACTTGCTTGAAGCAACTAACTCATATCTTTGTTATGCACTTTAATTACTGTGCTAGTTTAAATTCACACATCTGTTGGAAATACAAGTAATTACTCTGAACTTCTTAACTGCGTTTTTTAACAGGCCCCGGCCTAATGATGTAACCATCATTGGTGTGGCGTGATAATTCGAGTGACTGGCACAGTGTCCAATGGTAAAACTGCCTGCTTGCACTAGTATTCAATATAGTTAATTGTAGTTAAGATTCAGAGGAAGATTCAACACATACTTAATGTTAACAAGTTAACAAGTATTAAGTTTCAGTAGTTCAATCCCCATCTTCAATCATCATCCAAGATTTGTGCTGCGTTGTTGCCACTGTACCTGTGGTGTCATGGAATTAGTTAGGTGGTTTCTTTTGCTGGCCATAATTTCACGACGTAATTCTTTTGCGAGTTGCGATCACCAGTTAACTCTCGGTGAACTAAATCGTATCCTCCCATATTATTGTTAGACTAATGAGGTTTAACGGTTGAAACCATCAAAAATGGGGTTTCACATTGTTCACAGCTACAACCCATTTCCCAGTTGGCTCCCATAACCTCCAGGTTTTGGATCATGATGGGTGCCAAAACGTGACATGTGTCTGGCTTAAGTTTCAGCCCATTTAGTTAGCCATTCCTAGAAAAAAGGACCTGGACCTGCCTTAAATCCAGAAAACATCCAACATCATCCAACAGTTCTTTGTTTTTGTTCCACCAACTTAGCCATTCCCTGGGGCACCTCGAAAAAACCGAGGTTCAAAGGATCGACTAACGAGCCTGCCATATCGATCACTGCCCGTGCTTCAGCCAGTTCCAAAGTGGGGCGCTTGGCATTCGTGCAAGGCCTTGGGGTCTTGATGGCCCACGGTTAGACATGGTTTATGTATCGAACTGGTGATATAGTAACTGGGTGATATCTCCTCCTAAGAGTGGATTTTGTCATCAGTTCTTTTCCCCTCTAACAGTTGGATTATAGATGATTGATAAGTTGTGGCCCACTTACTAAACCACTAAAGTAACACCATGGCCCACCTAAGTATGGCTTAAAACATGCTAAAGCCACTATGAAACCATGATGACACCAAATTTGGATTATTATCAATGTTCATCCCCCCAAATGTAGTAGGTATTGATCCATCCCAGTTTCAGACAGAAATTTCAAGTAAACTAAACTTATTAAACTACCTATCCAAGGTTTGCCAAGGGGAATCCATGTCGGGTGTGTGCCCGAAACAACAAGAACTATATATTTCAGTCAAAGTCAGCGAGAGTCAGACCGATCAAAATATTCCGGTGGAAAAATATTCATGCTCGGCTTTAGAAGTGGTCATTCAAAGACAAAACAAACAAACACCGATTTTTTTCTGTGCCCAAAAAAACATATCCCATAGGATCCATGTATGGTATATATGCTAACATTTACCATCACAAACGTCTGAAATGGCAATGCTTGAATCTGATGATCTGATCTGCGGAAGCCACGCCCATGTTTCCGAGTCCCAGCCTGGGATGCCCCTTAGATTCCTACGGCCAGGGCCATAGAGTGAGTCTATAGCATAGTTATGTATAGTCTATAGGTTAGTAAAATATAGTAAAATGGTTATATCATGTCATAATTGACTCAGCTAAGTGGCGAAAGTGGTGAATATCTGAGTTTAACAGTTTAGCGCATTTGAAGAAAACATCTTTGGGGAAATAACCATGGTCTCCGACTTGGTTTAAGTTAAGAATTGTAAAGAACAGTCAAGAACCCCCAACCAAATCACCAATTTAGGGGTCAGAAACCATGTTAAAACATGTCAAAACCAGGGGTTTCCAAACAGTTTCGCCCAGTAAAATCCACCAATCCATGGCCCATTTCTCCATTTCCGCCCATTTCCAGCTCCGCCAAACGTCGAGACGGTGAAGCCCTGCAGTTCCATCGTCAAGAATGGCATGCTGCTGGGGGAAGCTTCATAGCCTGGACCCGATCCGCTAGATTGAGCCGTGCAGGTGGATTTGACCAAAGAAAATAGACAAGAATAAAACGATTCGAAACTGGGATTCAACCTCATTGCAGGGATTTATAAGGTGATTTCACCAATGAAGAATGGATTTGGCAATCTGAAAAATGGGAAATTCTTGACAAAATAATGGTTTAAAATTTAAATAGTGGTTAAATAAAGACTTAGAGGTACCCTATTTTCACAGTCCCATGAGCCTGGCTGAAGTGTTTGGGTTCACTCTGTTCACCTTTCCGAAAGATCCTTTGTAACTGGCGGTTCTCTCCTTCTAAAGTGGTGAATCGGAATATCTAACCATAGTCCCTGACTACTTACATGCACCAAACTGGGGTTTGCACCTTCAAATGCTTCAAAATCTTCAAGGATAGTCCTTTTGGTGGACTTTTGAGGAGTCATTGAGTCATTATAATCGGAGCATTGCGCAGAAAAAGCACGTATAACTATCTAATGAGGATTCTCAGATGCCCCTACTGGTGGCACTTTTGGGGGACGGTTGAATCCCCATGAAAGTCTTGGGTGTTCCGCATGACAAGTGAGACGGTCTCAGAATCCACTGTTTTGGGATAGCCCAAAACAATTGATGTCCGACAAATGTTTAAACATATACCATAAGTCTCTTCTCACCAGAGAAAAACATTGATTTCCTAGTGAAACGGGTCCGGAGTTAACTGGTTACTACCCAGTGATTCTAGAGTCCATTCATTACGCCAGTGCCGCGGCTCACCTGAGCGCACAGTTTTCACGTATTGCTAATCTGAATCATGGCTTTGCGGCTATTCTGAATCGTCATCCTTTACACACCTTGTGACAACGTGACAACAAGGGGTGTTCCTCCATTTTTTGTGAAACATCCTCCAGTGAGCAGTATTTTAAAACCATTTGTCATTCCACTGGCTGTTTAAAAACGGGATTCCCAGCTCATCCATTATGATACTGCGCAATACATCAAGCGTAGTATAAACCCCCGGGTGAAAACACAAACATCAACCAGTAATCAATTATCAGTCTGTTTGACGGCTAAAGCCCCATTGATTATACCATTTGTAATGTCAAACACTTGTAATACACCATTGATTATACAACAATACCATTGAGTATTACCATTGATTATTTGTTTATACCATTTGTAAAAAAATGCATCATACACCATGAATTCACAGGCGATGATGCACAGCTGCCGCCGAGGCGCCATCAACATCTCCTGAGACGACTGTCCAATCTGGGATTACTATCTATAGACTATATCATAATGTGCATCCGCATATGTATCTTATATACGTTACATGGAAACATATTGTATATGATGCATTGCATGGTATATATATATATATGCAGATGTTATACCAAGATATACCAAGATGTATGGGTGATTCTCCACTCACCGGGATGAACATCCAAGAAGGCAGCAGAATCGAAAACTTCATCAGTCACATGGCTCTGGTTAAACGGTGCCAACCTTTGCTAGCACAATGCCCCCAAGAACCACCGAAATCGTGGTGTTATGCCGCAGTTATGCCTGTTATGCCTGTGATGCGCTACAGATGTGGCCTTGATTTCCAGTGTATCTTGTGGGTGTGTGGATATTTTGCATCCAAGTGCATGGCTAACCACGCAAATATGGAGCGCAACCGGGTTCCCCATATCCTCCAATAATTACAAGCAATTTTTGGCCACTCACATCACTTTACCCAAGTCTTGACCAGGGTATGCTTGATTTGGATCCCCGGGAAGGCTTCATCCTAAGGCACAAATCGAATGTCCGAGGTGCGAAAAATCTCCAGCCGCATCTTGTTCACATGCGCGCGCAGGCCTGCGAGTCTTGTCGCAACAGGTGGTCTGAGATACCCTGATTTTTTCCCTGGGAGAATGGTGATTTTACCAGCGCAAACAGTGCGTCCAGAGCAACAAATTGTGATTAAACGAGCAAAAGAAGTGACTTAACCAATGAAAGATTGGAACATAATGAGGAAAACCCAATAACACAAACCATCCTAAGCAACCAAACCATCCTAAGCAACCATAGGGGATCACAATCATCACAAGGTTACTAGTAGGGGATAGTAGGGGCATACACAATTTCATAAAACACCATCTCTCGCCGGTGGTTTTGCCCCACCACACCGACCCAGACCCGAGCCACACCACGTTTTCGGCCTTGAATCACCGTCTCCAACAACGTAAGGCGTCGGACCACTCCTTCAGGTGGTTTGCTACACCGCTTCTGTACCATGGCCTGATGGTTCCAGCGGATCTTCGGTGGGGAATTCTTCATTGCCAGGTTGGATTACCACAAAAGGTTTTCCCAATCGCTGGCCATGTCGGCCTCGAAAAAAGTTGGGTACTGGACCACCCGAAAGCACTGGGAAAGTCCCAAAGCATATTCCAGCCATGACAAGCCGCCCAGCCGATCCAAGAATTTCATACAATTTCGCATCCATACTATTTTTATAAACAAATTATGTTGTTCACAGTTGTTCCTAGGATTTTGATCAAATTTATCACTTTTTTGAATCAACCCCCATGACTCTCGCGAAGAAAGTCACGACGCTACACGACGCCTCCAGTCGTTCGCGCTGACGCGAGAGGAAGGCATGTTCCACCTTTGGTGGATTCGTTGCCTTTCCCTCGAGCCTTGGTGGACCATTCTGCAGGCCCCCTTGGGCACACCAAGTGCCCGCCAGATATATATATATATATAATCATTGCTATATCCACTAACCAAGTTAGTAGATATAACATATTAACCCATATTACTTAACTCATCATATATATATACACACCATCAGAACCCATCTAACTAAGCATACTTGATCATTAACATACAAGTTAGTGAACTTGGTGATTTGTTGATCCCCTGCTGAGCGTTGACAACGATGACAACGTTGGGAGCCCAGGGTTTCTGTTACTAAACCAAGGCGGTGCCCCCTACTCATCGGAAAATCATCTATAAATGGGACATTTTTTCCTCCATGGCTATGAAGAAAAAATTCTACAAATACCATTAAAAAAGGGGGATGAATATCCATTTTCCAGCCAATTTGGTGTTCACCAGGGGTACACGGTTTTGTGACCCATATGGGACATTTTCCATTGCCATGTTAGATTACTTTAAAGGGTAGCTCTAACAAACCCGGGCACCTCCCGATTCAAGTGCCAGGCAACACCTGTGCCATGCTTTCGACGTTGTGAATCCGAACCTGAACCGTCAACTCGCCCATGACCAGTCCTCGTTTCTAGTTGACACGGCCGGGGCAGGGTCGGCTGAGTGGTCTGCTTAGTTCCTGGGTTGTATCACCTTACAAGTAGCTATTTTATACTTAATAATGGGTTTTAACATGTTTTAACATGTTTTAGCAACTCAGTAACCTGTCAATTAACTAATTCCATGGACCATCGAAGGCAGTTGCACCCTAAAAACAAGGCCCATTCTATAACCCCATGTGCAGTGACTACCGCCGCGACGTGGGATGATTCCTGACGATGAGCTCCAAACACTTGCAATGGGCTTTGGTTTAACATCCATTGAGCCAACTCTGGATCCTTTGAAGTCTGTTCAGTCATTCAGATTACTAGATGAACACATAAAACCCAAAATTGTGTCGATCGTGTACAGTGTACACATGTTGGATAGTGTTCTGTTTTGATTACCTCTTCCCATCTCTTCCCCACATTTCCATTTCTGGAACCATGAAGTTGGCCATGATTTTCTGAGTTTTTGCGGGGTGAATTTGTCATGTTTCTTTTTTCTTTCCCATGTTTGGAACTTATAGCTCCAGCATCATTTCTCATGGCCAATCTTGCGGCAAAAGGCAATACATTTTGGTAAATCACTGCTATAGCACTACTTAACTCCATCGTCAAAACCAGAAAAAGCCTCGAAAATGCCCATCCAGAACCATCCAGGATCCTATGGCAATCAGCTTCAACCAGCAGCAGATCCGTGCTGGCAAGGTGCTGGTGGATTGCCCTAGGAGCTTTGCCCAGGGGATATGGACCCGGATGGAATCCGCATGGGCCGAAAGTACTTCGATGGAGGCGGGGAAGCCGATGTCCAGCAACACCTGGAGAGGATCGAGGCGGCTTCGGTGGATGTGAAGCGAAAAACAACGGGTGAAACACCGTGAAAGGTGATGGTTGGTGATGATTTTTACTTTTTACCATGTTTTGACCAGCAATTTGGTTTTAACATTATTTAAAATGACTTAACCATCAACAATGGGCATTGTTGAATGTGAATGTTAAACTACATTTTAAAAAATGACTTGACATAATTTATCCAAGCTATTTATATCTAGACCTACTCCAATCAGGAAATGGGAAATCCTGAGAAGACTCCCAAGGGGCCATGATACAGTAAAGTCCACATGTTCCATACAGGATAAGACAATAAGGATGTCACACAAGGAAAACATGGGGGCATTGACTTGATTTACCCAATCCAGCTAACATTTCTATGATTGTACGGATTGTACCAAGATCGGTTATGACATGTAATGGCTATTCACCTAGCTGATGCTAAATACTGGGATTTTTACCACGCAATATTTTTTTATCTGATTAACATCTAATTATGTGACCCAATTCAGCGTGATCAATTCTGATTCAATCCAAACCATTGAAGGTGAATATTGGTGAGTCGTAAGTCCATTTTTTAAATCTTTAAACAAATGTGTTTCAAATCATGTATTCTAATCCCCTCCGATCTGATGTAATTCAATCTGATGCATCACCTGTCTCTCTATGCATCCAGGTATCCATCCATTACCACCGGCCATTTTTTGTTTTGCTGATGCTTGAAGGCTGCAAATTGGGAGAGTTGCTTTTAGATCTTTTAGATGATAGTTAGCTCCAGCTTCCTTTCCTATCTTCAGATCGCACTCCCTGATAAAACATGTCCCTCATATGCGCGGGAGTCGGCACCTGGAAAGGATTGTTGCATAACATTTACAAAATGAGGCTACTTTACCCTCCTATTTATCTTATTTTAAGTGGCTCATCGGAATAAAAAACAGAATAGGTGCGGAACTGCCGGCTACTGAGCAACAGAAACACCTACTTGGGGGTGCTTCCACCATATCATACTGGTTGGTGGTATACCTACCCCTCTGAAAAAAATATGAAAGTCAGCTGGGGTGATGAGATTCCCAATATATGGAAAAATAATCCAAATGTTCCAAACCACCAACCAGCATACCTCAGTTACCATCCAGCAATGCAACTGGCAATGAAAAATCTACCTTTTCTAGTTGATGTTCCCATCCAAATTTCCATTTAGTGCGGGAGCTGTCAGATGCCATGTTTGATTAGTCAAACATGGGGATGGTATAGGGGTTATAAACCATTTACCGGGATGCACATCCAGTACTCCATTGCTTTCCGCCTGCTGTATGGCCTGTTCCGCCAGGGCCACGTCTGGACCCAGTTCCACGGTGCCAGAGAGCAAGTGCCGCAAGTGCAACCTACGAATGAGCAGCCCTTCAATGGATTTCAATGGGTCAAAGCTCGATGATTTACCATGATTTGCCATATGAAAGATGGTTTTCGAAAACTGTGATCAATTACCAGAGGGCGATACACAAGAAACTCGTTGTTGGGCTAGTTCTTGTTACTGTTAGCTGTTGGATAAGACATGATATCCCTATGATCCATCAGGATCCTGGATTTACCCGAAAATTGGACATAGGAAGTATATCACAGGATATATAGCCGTTTGGATGACATCCTGTTCCAAATCAGAAGATAACCTCAATCTGGCCATTTACATTGGGAAACTTACGTTGTTTAAACCTTTGGATTTGAGTGGTGCCCCCTTCGCACATCACCCTTTAAAATCAAGTGAGGTGCTCAGCCAACCTATCCCATCCTATAGCACAGTGCAACTGAAATTCCGCAGCATCTCTGCCAAGATGCACCATCATTCGCCAACTATATTGATTCCCGATCATTTCGTCTGCTAGAAATCAGCATGGTTCTTGGTCAACATAGGTCAACATTTTGTCGATATTTTTGCAGGTTATTCATGGTTCTTCCATACCCCCCAAAAAACAGATCTTTGTAATCATATCTTTTAAACCTATATATATATATAACCCTAAAGTTTTGTAGCCCAAAGTCGTGCCCCAACATGCCCCAGACCCATGGCCCAGCCCTCCTCAACAATTCATGCCCGCCCTTAATAACCAGGTCACTGATCTCCGCTGGCATCTTTAATGAAGCGCAGTAGGCTGGTTCTCAGCACATTGGTGATGATATCCTTTGCCACCGCCATCGGTGTCCGACGCTCTTGAGCCGACGTGGGAAAACATGGAAAAGCTGGATTTCCCAGCAATGGAACACGACCTAACACAACACTAAAAGGGGCTTGCTGTGTATCTTTCCATAATCCAAAAGCGGGTGAGTCTGAAAATGGTGCAGTTGTTGCCACAAATAAAGGACTGTTTAAGAGGGAAATTGTGATGAAGCAGTGGATAATCATCGTTTCAAATGCTAAATTTATATAAGGTCAAATCTTCTTTGTTTATCTTTCAATCTTGGGGTGTCCTCAAAACTCACCCCTTCACAGGTTGAACCCTTACTAGTTTCACAACTCATGGCAATGACTACTTTTCGGGGGCTCAGTTCACCATTTTTGTCAGAAAACCAACCAAGCATGATGACAATCTGGGACGGATGTTGACACTCCGAATTAAGCAGAAGTCACTACTCTTGGCAGTACATGATTAATCTATCACAGGGTCGGTGGATACCAAGAAAACAGGAAACCATAAAGGGGTTGATATCCATGGGATATTCACCGATTTCCACGAAATGGGACCCCTGAATGATGTTTGTTGGTCAAAAACCATTACTGGTTGGTGGTTTCCACGTTTCAACCCGTCTGAAAAATATGAGTTAGTCACTTGGGATGATGACATTTCCCAATATATGGAAAAATAATCCAAATGTTCCAAGCCACCAACCAAATTAATCATAGATACCATAGATACACAAGGTGTGACATACGCACCAGAAATCCAAAGTGATAAAACCATGGGGCACCACCCCGTATGAAAAGAAACCAAGGTGTTGATTCCTCCAAGGCAACACCATCATCAACAGCAACTGCATGACACAATATATGTGCATTTCGAAACTGCCGGGTGCGGGCTGACAACATGGACTTCAACCTGATCCACTGGAAATTGGAATGGGTAACTTGCTTCTCCACATTTTTTGGGATGCCTCGAACATTCCGGCGTCTTGGAACCTTGAGACAAGCCGCATATTGCTGATAACACTGGATACATTTTCGAGACAAGGATGATGCAACCATGGTTTCAACAAGCCAAAAACGTCTTGTTTTCTGTAGATGTTCTCTTCAACTAGCCTCCAACTAACGAAGTCTCACAACCCATAACAACTATATAAATATGGTCCTACTCTTTCAAGGTTCCCCATACAGGTTTGAGGCATCACTTCCCATACTCTCTCCGAACATTTAGGTGTTTTTTTTGGTAACGCCGTGATTGTATATGCTGATGTTTCTGGATGCTGACATTGAAAAAATAGTTGAAACATAGGGTATAATATTAATCATGACACCCGTGTTAAAACAGAAAGCAGCCTGAAGCTTCTTTTTGTGCATCTATGTTTGTCTTAATCATGTATGGGCCCGCTGAAGCATTGCCCAGAACAAAATGCCCAGAGTTTTTGGACCAACTGCCACATATTGTGCATCTTCAAATTGAAATAAGACATATCATATCACATATCCATTGTTATTGGTTCACATTGCACTACTCTTTTTTGTTTCATCGGGCAAAACCATCCAAGTATCAAATAGTATCGGGATCAGATCCAGAAACTACACCATCAATCCATATCAATCCCCCCTGTCATGGTTGGTTTCACCATGTTTAACCCCCTTCTTAATGGGCCCAAAAGTCAGGATTCGGTCAAATTTGCGAAATCCAAGCATTTCTGGACCCTGGGGCCCTGGGAGCTCCGGCCTTGCTCCACTAGCGAAGTCACTGGTTCACCTGGCCAAGGTCGAGCAAAATTCATTCTGATGGGTACAGTGTCATGTAAACTATATTAATTATGTATTAAATAATGTTTGGAAAAAAGGAATTATGAAAAAAATGCAAAAAAAGTCACGATTCATGATAACTAAATATTACCGAGAACGAATGGGCATAATAATCGAAAAATATCAAACCATGGTATGAAATGGGGACTAAGAAAAGTGGGGATCATGATTAATTACTAGAAAGGAACGCATGAGTATAATCATGACGCGCATGATAATGATTGTGATTGAATAGATCACCATGGTGTACAATGGGTATCATATGCTGCAATAGTGAATATGCATCAGTCACTTCCCCCTCTTCATACCTCCCCTCATCTTCTTCTGTTTTCGTAGTATGCCCCGTGCTCTTATATAACCAAATGGTATCATTATCATCCCAATCGTTCACTATAACCAATAATCTATAACTAAACATTAATGGTATGATACCATTATACTCCCATATATTAATATAGTAACCATATGTACATTTAAATATATGGCGGCTGATCTAAATTCCTTTATCTGCAAATGGCAATTCTTCGCCAAAAAAACAATTACTTCTGCGAATCTTTCACGAACCCCACGTTTATCTTTCGCGGGGGTCTCATGTTCAAATCTTTCGCTAAATCGGTCGCCCCAAAAAATACGTTCGCGAACTCAGAAAAAAACACTTTCGTGGGGTCTCATGTTACCCTGGCGGCCTTTGTAATGGACAATCTCTACATGGACCTTTAGATCGACAGTCAATCACACACACAAACACACACATATATATATACATGTAATATATATATATATAATATACAGTGTATATTATATAATATACACATACATATACATATGTAAATATATATATATGTACACATACACATACATATACATATGTATACATATATATACATATATGTATGTATGTATGTATGTATAAATCATCGCATTACCCCAGGAATTCTTGAAATCACCAGGCTTCCCGGCCTTTTTCGGGACAAAGGACCTGGCGTTTCCTGAAGGCGCGCAACGACATGGGTATATTATAACATGGACATATATGGAAATAAATGGAATCATAGATGTCCTTTTACCATTGGTTGGTTGGTTAATAGAGGGGGTTGAAGAAACCCCTTTAACAACAGGTAAATGATGATACATGGTACACCAAACCGGCCCCTCTATTTTTACCAAAAGGACATTTTTGAATGGAATATTAAGGCATGAATGGGATAATACTGGAAAATGATCTCCCGAGAAACATGGAATGCTATGCAATGTTTGATTACCGGAGAATATGATGGGCATTTCAGCCGCAAAACATGGGGAAAAGTTGTTTAACTCGATGATAAACCCACATTTGGTGCAAAAATTAAAAATAGAGATGTCTAACACCAGCCGGCTTGATATATATGCCTCAGAAAAAAATATAGAATCTCAAATAAACCAAAACTTGGATCAATCCCAAAATAATGAGATATGTGATATGAATGATATTTCGCCCAAAAAGTATGGGGATGATGTGGCACCCAATGATCAACCAGTGGACCAGTATCAACCAGTTCTTTGGGTTCAATGAATCGATGTGCGAGAACAAATGCTATGGAAAATCACCATGCTTAATAGGTCAATGAACTATTTCTATGCCCCATTTTCAATAGCAAACTGTAAACGTTTACCAGTGGGTAGTTTTTTTCACATCCAAATTGCTTGGGGTTTCCTGCAAATGTTCCCTTCAAGTCTGGAATGAGATAATATCATCCGTATCAACCCGACAATTCTCTGGGGTAAATTGTGTCCATTTCGGTCTAAAAAGCATATGGTGTAGTCACATTTTTTTCATAGCTATAGGTCTAGGTGAGACCCGTTGGCACCACTAAGGGTAGTCGCAATAGATCATCATATGATTCCCACATCTAGACCCCGCCCGGGAAGTTGGAAATTGATCTCCAGACGCCAACAAAAATAACGGGGATATCCTGTGATACAGTTGGTATTTAACAAACAATGGGGAACAAAAACAGATGCCAACATCCAGCTTTCGGAAGAATCGGACTGGAGTCGTCTTCCCATTCATAGGGTTGGAAAAGAAAACGCCAGTGAACCATACCCCTGTTTAAAAGATCTATCCATGATGTTTATCGATGTTTATTGATGTTTATTGATGTTTGTTGACGTTCATTGATGTTTATGCCTGCGGACCGAAAACCGTTCCCGTAAAACGCACGTTTTTGAATATCGCGATTGTGGGGTGGGGTGGGGTGGGGTGGGGTGGGGGGGCATGTTAACGTTCCTTGTACTTCGTACACGATATATTGCCATGCTGCTAAGATCTCTGGGATTATTTACTACGTTACATGTTGCTACGCTGCTGAGATCTCTGGTATCGTTTACTACGTTACATACATGTTGCTACGCTGCTGAGATCTCTGGGATCGTGTACTACGTTACATGTTGCTACGCTGCTGAGATCTCTGGGATCGTTTACTACGTTACATGTTGCTACGCTGCTGAGATCTCTGGGATCGTGTACTACGTTACATACATGTTGCTACGCTGCTGAGATCTCTGGTATCGTTTACTACGTTACATACATGTTGCTACGCTGCTGAGATCTCTGGGATCGTTTACTACGTTACATGTTGCTACGCTGCTGAGATCTCTGGTATCGTTTACTACGTTACATACATGTTGCTACGCTGCTGAGATCTCTGGGATCGTGTACTACGTTACATACATGTTGCTACGCTGCTGAGATCTCTGGGATCGTTTACTACGTTACATACATGTTGCTACGCTGCTGAGATCTCTGAGATCTCTGAGAGTTTGGCAATGGAGATGCATTCACAAGAATGCTGACTGCCAGCTGTTTACTACGCATGTGTTGCAGCGATGACGCTGAAAAACGAAAAAACGCGCCCCAAGTTTTTCCAGGATTTCCAATCATCAAATTAGCACGGCACTGTGGTAAAATCACATTTTTTTTAAAAAAATGTGCGTTTTATGGGAACGGTTTCCGGTCCGGCGGGATGTTTATCTATGTTTATCTAATCATGTTGATTTATGTTTCCATCTCATGCTTCTCCATGAATTTTTCCGGTGCTTGCTCAAACCTATAATGCAGGTGATCTTCCTCCCGTCTTTGTGTATTTAGGATCATGATGTGCCATTGCGGTTTGTCGGTTTGTCCTGTGGATGTACCCTGCAAACTCATCCACTTGTGGCTA